TCCCTTGAACTTTTCTAAGGAAACAAATATTCTGAGCAAGCTGTCTCCAAGGTGAATGTTTTGCTAATCAAACATTAACCCCAGCTGTTTGGCTATAGCACTTGCTACTTACTGGTTATAATGAGGGAACTCACCTCTTAAATATACCTAACAGTGTACTAAGGCAAACTAGAGACAGTAAGCTCTAGATCCTTTCACAGGCACAGGAAATTGGGGTGGCTGAGGTCCTTTCTTCCATCTGTCTGCAGCTTCACTTCTCACTGGAGCCCCTCATGAACATAGCTAACTTCTGGGGAATGCCATTGTCACCTTACTATTGGAACAGGTCTAAGAAGGAAGATTCGTTCCCTCTTTCTAAGCTTCTCCATGTCTGGTTTTGTCATCACCACTTGGGTTTCCTGTTCTGAGAACCATAACATTTCTTATTAGCTCCTCTGCTCCCTCCACATCTAATCAGTCAAGGCTTTTCTTCATAATATCTAAAGTTTGTATCTTTCCATTTCCAATCCTACCTCATTGTTAGCTTTGCCATCCCAACCTGCAGCACACTTGGGTTTTTCTTAGTCCACCCCAATTGTTCCTGAGTTTACAACAATGTCTGTCAAGCTGTTCTTCAGAGGGCTTGAGGATTTTTTTTCCCCATGAGATTACCAAGTGACAGTTGAGAGATTACTGACTTGGTAAAGAAAACCCAATATAGCTGGGTGCCGTGGCTTATGCCTATAATCCTAGCTACGTAGGAGGTAGAGATTGGGAAAATTGTGGCTCCAAACCAGCCTCAGCAAAAAGAGACTCCATTTCAACTAATACAAAACTGGATGTGATGGTGTGTACCTGTCAGTCTAGCCATGCAGGAAACAAAAATAGGACTGTGGTCCATGCTAACCTTGGGCAAGAATGTGAGACCCTCTAAAAAACAAAAGCAAAAGGCCTGGAGGTATGGCTCAAGTGGTAGAGCACCATTGGCAAGCACAAGTTCAAAACCTAATACTATGGGGGAAAAAAAATCCCACGAAAGAGCAAATATGAGTCAGGTGCCAGTGGTTCACACCTATAATCCTAGCTACTCAAGAGGCTAAGATCTGAGGGTCAAGGCTTGAATCTAGCTGGAGAAGACAATCTCTAATTACCCAACCAAAAGCCAGAAGTAGAGGTATAGCTCAAGTGGTAGACTGCCAGCTATGAGCCAAAATGCCAATGGGAGCTTGAAGACCTGACTTCAATCCCCAGTACCAGCACAAAAAATAAATAAATAAAAAAGAATGGAGCTATATGAGTAAGAAAAGGATGTCAACATAACACCTCATGCTGAGATGGGTTCCAAACTGGTGAGGTTCCTGGTGTGCTTGGTGAGATGAGTGAAGTAGCTTCGTGGAAACAATATAGAATGTGTACAGGGGACATGTTTGGAAATGCCTCAGGATTTTAAAGTCAGGACATATTTAAACATCTGTTATTGATAAATTATGGCTATGGTTCTCTTGGGGACCAGGGATAAATTCAGTATAGTTCCTGCTATTCTGAGGGTTGAGGACCATGCCAGGCTCTTTCCAAACACCAGAACCCTTCAGGATGCATCAGAGGGTGAAGCTGTATTGTCAAGGTACACATTAAAGACAGGGGAGATGGAAGGTGGCTCAGTGGTAGAGTGCTTGCCTTGCTTGCATGAGGCCCTGGGTTCGATTCCTCAGCACCACATAAGCAGAAAAAGCCACAAGTGGCGCTGTGGCTCAAGTGGTAGAGTGCTAGCCTTGAGCTGAAGAGCTGAGGGACAGCGCCCAGGCCCAGAGTTCAGGCCCCACGACTGACCAAAAAAAAAGAGTACCCAGGAGTTGGATGCCAGTGGCTCACATTTGTAGTACTAGCTACTCAGGCTGAAATCTGAGGAGCACCACAGTTCAAAGCCAGTCTGGGCTACAAGGTTAGTTTCAGTTAACCAACAGAAAGCCAGAAGTAGAGGTATAGTTCACGTGGTAGAGCACCAGTCTTGAGCCAAGCGAGAGACAGAGGCCCTGAGTTCAGGCCCCAGTGCCAGCATACACACATACAAAGTACCCAGGCAGCTTGATAGGAAATGTAGTCATTACCTTACTCATGCAACTGTAACCCCTCTGTACAGTATTTTAATGTTTTTATTGTAAAAATATTGTACAGAGGGTGAACAATTACATGAGCAAGGTAATGAGTACATTTCCTATGAAGCATTGTTACCTCCTCCTTTGTTTTTCCTCTACCCTCCCTTCCTCCCCACCTCCACAACTACACTCCTGCATTCCCCCCCCCCCCCCCCGCCTAAATTGTAAAGTTCATTTTTTAACATAGTGTCTTGTACAGCTCATTGTTTCAATGGGTCAACCTGTATCCCTATTTAAGCATTTTTTTTCCCTTCCCCTCCCCAAGCTAGAGAAGTGTATATACAAGATGCAGGGCACCGACATCAAATACAGTGAAAATAGGGGTTATATCGTGGGGGAGGGGGAGGAACATGCAAAGAAACAAAAAAAAAAAATCACAAGGTACATTATAAATATGTTAGGAACAAAAGCAAGCAAGAAAAACTACTTGTGTCCCTATCTTAGGGTTCATTTTGCTTAATCATCTTATTTGATCATACGTACATAGCTTTTGACCTTTTCTGCTTGTCCCAGACATATACTAGTTATTGCAAATAAGGGAAACCATGGGATCTATGTTTCTTTGGGCCTGGCTTACTTCACTTAATATAATTTTTTTCCAAGTCTTTCTATTTCCTAACAAATGGGGCAGTGTCATTCTTTCTGATGGAGGCATAGAATTCCAGTGTGTGTGTGTGTGTGTGTGTGTGTGTGTGTGTGTGTGTGTGTGTGTGTGTGTGTGTGTGTGTGTGTGTGTGTGTGTGTGTGTGTGTGTGTGTGTGTCACATTTTCTTGATCCATTCATCTACTGAGGGGCATCTGGGTTGGTTCTATATCTTAGCAATGGTAAATAATGCTGCAATAAACATAGTTGTGCTGGTAGCTTTAGTATAGTCTTGTTTGTGATCATTTGGGTAAATGCCCAAAAGTGGGATTGCTGGGTCATAGGGAAGTTCTATGTGAATCTTTTGAGGAACCTCCATACTGCTTTCCAAAGTGGTTGAACAAGTTTACACTCCCAACAACAATGCAGTAGGGCTCCCTTCTAGCTACATCCCCTCCAGCATCTGTGTTGTTAGAGTTCTGGATTATAGCCATTCTCACTGGGTGAGGTGGAATCTCAATGTTGTTTTGATTTGCATTTCTTTTATGGCTAGAGAGGTTGAGGATTTCTTCATATGTCTATTGGCCATTCTTATTTCCTCTTCAGAGAAGTTTCTCTTTAGGTCTTTTTTTTTTCCTGGCTACAAGTTTATTCAACACAAAACAATCTCCATCTTTACTGGGGTGGCTGACCACATCCACAACCAAATCCACCTCTAAACTGGAATTCAGTTGCTGACCCAGCCCCAGCCTCCGCTTTCTTGTCAGCACCAGGGGGCACAGCACTCTGTCTGTAGGTGTCTCTGTCAGCTTCACCTTTTGTGAGTCTTGCAGGCTGTTCGCCCTCCAGACCTTTTGGCCGAGGCCTTCCAGTCTCAGGTGGCTGCGGCACAAGGTAGCAGGCACAATCTCAGGGGGCAGGTGGAGGTAATCACGGAGATACTGGATACCCTCGTTGGTCAGGTACCAATAAAAATGCCTCCAGGCAAACTTCCTTCACTTAGCCCCGAAACTTGAGAGAGTGCATGGCCTTCATGACGTGAAGGTTGGGCACATTCTTGTCTGCCAGTTCTGGGTGCTTGGGCATGTGGACATCCTTCTTGGCCATCATAACCCCCTCATTAAAAAGGAGTTCATAAGGGGCTGGGAAGGTGGCTCAGTGGTAGAGTGCTTGCCTAGCATGTATGAGGCCCTGGGTTCAATTCCTCAGTACCACATAAGCAGAAAAAGCCAGAAGTTGGCACTGTGGCTCAAGTAGTAGAGCACTATCCTTGAGCTGAAGAGCTGACGGACAGTGCCCAGGCCCAGAGTTCAGACCCAATGACCAACCAAAAAAAAAAAAAAAAAAAGGAGTTCATAAATGGCAATCCGGTTTTTCTTGGGCATCAACATCATGGTGGCTTCAGGGTCCAAGGCCAAGGCTGGAAAGTCTCTTTAAGTCTTTAACCCACTTGTTTATTAGGCAGCTGTTTCTTTGAGGATTTGTTGTTGGGGGATTTAAGTTTTTGAGTTCTAAGTATATTTTAGATATGAGACCCTTATCCATTGTATGGCTAGTGAAGATCTCCCAATCCATGGACTTTCTATTGATCTTTCTAGCTATGTCCTTTGCCATGCAGAAGCTCTGTAGCTTCATGCAATCCCATTTGTCCAACCTTTCTTTGATTTGTTGTGTTTCTGGGTCTCTATTGAGAAAATCTCGGCCTGTGCCAAGGAGACCTAGGGTTTCTCCTTGTTTCTCCTTACCTCCTGTAATGTTTTCAGGGTGTCTGCTTTGACTTCGAGGTCTTTGATCCATTTGGAGTTGATTCTGGTGCAGGGTGATATATAAGGATCTAACTTTAGTTTTCTACTCCTCTGTACAGTATTTTTACAATAAAAAATATTTTCAAAAAGCACCCACTTTCTAGCACCAAAAAAAAAAAGTACCCAGGCATGGAAGTGTAATCCCAGTTACTCAGAGGCAAGAGAGTCGAGAGCTTGAGGCCAGCCTGGGCTACAAAGTGACACTCTATCTCAAAAAGATGTGTGTGGGGATGATGTGTTGAGAGTTGTTTGATGGTAGAGCACTTGCCTGGCATGAGCAAGGCCCTGGACTCCATCCCTAACATTGGGGGAAAAAAAGATCCTCAAGGATGAGAGTGTACACCTAACAGGCTACTGTAGAGTCCTGAAGTCCAAACCCCAAGAACGTGAGCCTTATTTCAACTGTTTACCCAGATCTATTTACTCTGACCTTGTCTGTTCCTCTGACCTTGCTCTTCTGTCTCCACATCTCCACAGGGACAGTGATAGGAAGGTTCTATGGAGAGGATGGGCTACCCACCCCACAGTTGGCCCAGGTAGAAGCCATGATGACCAAAGCCTTAGAGGCAAATAAACAGGAACAGAAAGAGAAGCAGAAGTTCCCTCCATGCAATGCTGAGTGGAGTGCAACCAAGGGCAGCCGGTTCTGGTGTTCCCCAAAGAGGTAAGCAAGTTTCCATCTGCTTCTTCCACTTTCCCTCCCAAATCAGACTTCTATTTATCCTGTTTGTATTATTCAGAGAATAATGCAATTATAATAGTGAGTTGATTACTAATTCAGGGGAACTTTCTCAAAATACATGTGCTCCATGATAGTGATTTATCTTTGGTTGCACATTAGATTTTCTGGAAATTAAAAAAAAAGACTGGGAGTGAGGGAACAGAAGACACTGTATGAAAAGAAATATACTCATTACCTGACTCATGTAATTGTAATCCCTCTGTACATTACCTCTAGAATAACAATAAATAAATTTTAAAAAAGATAATGGCAAAACCTCTATCAGTAACTGAATAAGAACAGTAAGGTTGAGTCCTGGGCATCTTCCCATCTCCAATACCCCCAGAGTCCCTGCTGAAGAACGAATGCTGGTTTGGGAAGGAGGAAGTATGAATAGTATATCTTGTTTAGTCTCCTGTGGCCTCCATTTCCTGTTTGTCAGTACAGAAATCATTCCTACTTGCAGAAGCGTAGGGTAAGGAGGTGAGTTACACTCTGGTGTGTTCAGGTGCTTTAAAGTACTGTGTACGGGGCTGAGAATGTAGCTCAGTGGTGGAGCACTTCCCTAGTGTGTGTGAAGATCTGGGTTCCATTCTTAGCAATGCAAATTAAAAGCAAGAAAAGAAAAAGAAAAGCCCTGTACATTCTGATTCCAGGAAGTGCAGGTTAAAAATGGGAAGCCCTCCCCTGGGAGAGCAAAATGAGGTGAACTAGATTAGAAATGATGCTATGAGGATTATTCCAGGTTGTTTTGGGAAACTGAAGCCTCCCACTCCTCCTGTCTTTCAACCATCAGGCCAGCTTGATTGAAACTGCTTGATTCTGAGTTTGCAAGAGATGACTTGAACTACCCTGAGATGAGTTATGTCTCTCTGCCCAGTTGAGAGGTTGCCAGACTGTGTTGGGACAGAGCAGAAGCCTCCATCCCTGAGGTCTGGTGACATCAAGAACAGGACCTAGGGCAGGCCAGCATAGCTCACAGCTTATAGCTATGTGTCAAGGCATCCCAGAGAAGGCTGACTCAACTGGCCAGGGTCTCCTCGTTGGCCACCACCACCAAGTACCCAAGATGCTGTGATGGGGAAGAAGGCTGCTGGAAGGCCATTGGCAGGGGAACCCTCCCTGAGATTACAGTGCCCCTGCTAGGAAGTGATGCTGCCACCTCAAAGGGACAGGGATAACTGGTGGCTCCATTAAAGAGACATAGACTCTGTCCTCAGTCTGCAGAAGTTGGGATTGGCACTACATTGGGGAAGCTGGAGGAAGTCAGAGAAGTCAGGAGACCAGAGGCCTGAGGTTGGAAGTGCAGCAGCTTTTGTTCATTTGCATGTCTCAGAGACTTGTGAGTTCACACTTTTTTAGAAGTCCTCTTTCCTTCTGTCCTTAGTGGAGGTGTAAGCAGAGACTGGATTGGTGTCCCCAGGAAACTCTATAAACCAGGAGCCAAGGAGCCCCTCTGCGTATGTGTGAGAGCAACTGGTCCCCCTAGTGACCAGCTGGACAACCCTGTACACACAAATCGTGGAGACTTGGATGACCCCAGCTTGAGAGAATACACTGGCTGCCCACCTCTGGCCATCACATGCTCCTTCCCACTCTAAGTTTGTGCTCAGTATGTTGATGACACTTGAGAAAGAAGTCTTCCCTTGACATGTGCACCTCCAATGGATTCCAGCATAAAACAGGAGGATCTAGGACTCTGATCAATCTGTGCAAATGTGTCATTCTGGTGCCTGAAGCAAGATTCTGACAACCTTCCTAGTGCCTGCGTTCTTTAAGCCTGTTTGGATGTTGTTTCCTAAGTCTGCCAGCTGTCTTCCTCCAGAGCCCTCAGATACTAATGGGCACAAATGTAACCAACCCAGAACTAATGGGACAAATGAGATGCAACCAACCCAGAACTAATGAAATAAATGAGAAAAATCTGAGCTCCACCTTCCTTCCCTCCCAAGGATTCCCATGTGGCCTGCATCAGCTGCCAGCATGGCCCCTTCCTATTACTCCAGTCCTGTGGGCACCTGGAGCATGGCAGGGACTGTGACTCTCAGCAGAGACAGGCAGACATATCCCAGGAATCTCTATGGGGGCAGGTGGGAGAGTACTGGGGTTTTCTTGTTTTGGTGTTGGCCAGTCTTGGGATGTGAATTCAGGGCCTGGCCACTATCTCTGAGCTATGTTTGCTCAAGGCTAGTACTCTACCACTTGAGCCACAGTGCCCCTTCCAGCTTTTTCTATTTATGTGGTACTAAGAAATAGAATCCAGGGCTTCATGTATGCTAGGCAAACACTCTACCACTAAGTCACAGCCATAGCCCTTGAGTACTAAGGTTTGAATACAAGGCCTTTTGCTTGCTCAGACAGGTACTCTACCTCTTGAGCCATGCCTACAGCCCTTTTTTTCAAATAGGGTTTGCTTTTTTGCCCCAGCAGCCTCAACCTGTCATCTTCTTGTGTCATCTGTGTTACTGGGATTATAGGTAGGTCATACCATTCCTGGTTTGCCCAGGTTGTCTTTAAACAGTGATCCCTATCTCGGGCTCATGAGTAGCTAGGATTGTAGGCATATACATTCATGCTTGGTTCTTTTCTCGTTGCTGTTGAGACAGAATCTTGCTATGAAGGCCAGGCTTGCTCAAACTCACATATCTCCTGTCTTAGTCTACTGGGATTACAGGTGTGTACCACCTGTGTGTACCACCTGGCTGAAGCTGTGCATAGTAAAAGCATCCTATATTACTAACTCTACACTGGAAAAGCTTGTGATCTCTTGACTTTTTTTTTTCTTTTCTTTTGTTGGTCATGGGGTCTTGAACTCTGCACCTGGGTGCTGTCCCTCAGCTCTTCAGCTCAAGGCAAGCACTCTACCACTTGAGCACAGCGCCATTTCTGGTTTTCTGATGGTTAACTGGAAATAAGAGTCTCATAGCCTTTCCTGCTTGGGCTGGCTTTGAACCTTGATCCTCAGATCTCAGCCTCCTGTGTAGCTAGGATTATAGGCATGAGCCACCAATGCCTGGCTTTCATGATTTTTGTTCTAAAACCTCTACCTTCAGGCAAAGTTGAATTTATAACCCAAAGCCCACTGACTTGATTAGAGCTGGGCAAGTACAGTGAGATGTGATAATAAAATGTGATAGGCTAATTCTAGACATATTTTGATTTCTATGGATGCAGCAAGTCCAGAAAAAGCATGGAAATTATTTCTTTTAAATACTAAATATGTTTGAAAAAAATCAGAGGTGGTTTGTTTTCAAAAGAAAAGTCTGCATTTGGGGCAAGAAGTTTTATAGCTCTACAAAGATACCTGGTTAACCTAAAATAAAAGTTGGGGCAAGCCTACAAATGCCAATATAGACAGTCCTAAATTAAGTTGGCTAGGCTTGAAACCTGTCTAGTGCTGTGTATAGCCAACGACATCTACCACCACCTACATTTGATAAAGTCCATGCCTAGTTACCTCCTGAAATGCTAAATTTAAGTAAGCAGAGAAGGGCACTGAGTTTCTTTTTTGTTCAGATAAGGAAATAAAGACCCATCCTGGTCTAGATTACTGGCCTTCACCTCATCTCTCACTCCCTGCCTCCCCAACCTGTATAGTATCTTCTAGCTTCGGGTTCCTTCCTTTAAGTGTACAGTGAAGAGCTCACTTAGTACTCAAAACACTATAAATACACTTAGGGTGCCCACAGTACCCGAAGCTCCTGTGGCTACCAAACCTAATTACTTTCACAGTGAACATTTTTCCTGCTCCACAGCAGAATCAGTTCTGTACTTGCTGTTCCTGTCAGGTTTTGTCCCTGGGGCTTGAACTTGGGACCCTGTGCTCTTGCTTATCTTAAAGTGGTGCTCCCACTTGAGCTGTACCTCCTCCAGTTTTTTGTTTTTAGTTGGGAGTTTCTTGATTTGTCTGCCTGGGCTGGCTTGAACGAGGATCCTCAGATCTCAGCTAAGTAGTAAGGATTATAGGCATGGCCACTGGCACCTGGAAAGTCTCATCTACTTTGATCTCTATGACTTTTGACATTGATCCAGGGGATTCCTTTCCCTCTCCCTGAAGCCTGATCTCCCTCTTCCGTAGGCTCTTCTCCCTTACTTTAGCAATTGTTTACACCTCCAGTCCTGCCTGTTTATACCTCCAATCCAAATAGTTTCCTCCAGCTTCTCTGCAGGTTTGTAAACCCTCCTCTTTGACACCTAACACTTAACTAGGCCTGCTCTCCAGGTGAGTAAAGGCCTGGCAGTGGGCCAGAGTCCCTCCCACTTCCCTGCCTCCTAGCCCTTTCTATTTCCTGCCTCCTAGTCACCTGCTAAAGGGATTCACCATTCTCCCTTGTTCACACTGTGGCAAGGCTTCTTCATGATAACCAGAGACTTCCGTATCTTACAAGGCCCAGCACAACTCTTCAGCACCTTGGTACAGGAGGCCCCTTACATGGCCAGCCAGTCTGCTTGGTCACTGCCTCTCCCATTTCTCCCCATGCACGGACTACCTCCCATCCCGAACCTTTTACTACATTAGGCCTAAAGCGTTTTCCACAATCTGTTTGCACTGCCCATGAATCCCATTTCTTTCCCATTAGTCCCTGTATTCAGCCTACTCCATCCTCTCCTGGGTGCCTTCATTAACCAATGGCCTAGGTAGCACTCTGGTCCACACAGTGCCCCATGCTTACTTCCTCTCACAGTGATCTCTAACCATGAATTGCCCATCAGACTGCAGATTCTAAGGACAGGCCAGTACTCAGGTTGGTATCCCTACAGCCATAGTACCTGGCATGTGACAAGGGCACAGAGTTAGCTTTTATTTTGAAGATGGGGTAACTAAGGCTCAGAAATCTTAGGGTCACGGAGAAATGGAGCTAAACAAAGCACTTAATTAAACTGAAGGTTTCAAAGCAGAGCTTGTAGCCCACTCTGGCCTTGAATGCTTGATCTTCCTGCCTCTGCCTACTGAGTACTGGGCTTACAGCTTTGGGCCACCACACCTGGCTTTGTGGTTCTTGATTACTGATTCTGTGCTATTTCTACTTCCTCCATATTCCCATACATCTCTATTCTCCAGGGACAAGAGTGGACTGAAGGGCTGGGAAGGTGGCTCAGTGGTAGAGCACTTGCCTTGCATGCATAAGGCCCTGGGTTCGATTCCTCAGCACCACATAAGCAAAAAGCTGGAAGTGGCGCTGTGGCTCAAATGGTAGAGTGCTAGCCTTGAGCTGAAGAGCTGAGGGACAGCGCCCAGGTCCAGAGTTCAGGCCCCACAACCAGACCCCCCCCCCCAAAAAAAAAAAAAGAGTGGACTGAAAGAGTAAAGCTGGAATGAGACCTTATTCTGAGTTCCCAAGAGCTCAAAGCTTGGCACTTGAAACTGCAGTTCAGTCCTTGCCACTGCTCTGGTCCTCCTTTAGTTACCCAGTAAGTGTTATGAAGTGCTTACCATATGCAAGGAGGCAAGGGGTAAGGAAGCAAAACTCCTGGTCTCAGGATCTTCAGTGTGGTGGGGTAAACTCCTGATTAGAGCACCACAGGCCACCCTTTGTATAGGAGTGCAGGATGTACATACCAGAACCAGAGTGGTGCAGACTCCCACAAAATAAAGTGCACTTGGGCATTGCAGCCAGAAGTGTTCTTTGATGGTAGTTGGTGGGTGCCTAGCCTTTGAGCTCATTATCTAAGACATACTGACTATCTTTAGAGACCTGCTTAGTGCCCTGCCCAGTGAGAATTCATTTCCTCACTGATACTATCCTTACCCTGTGGTGAAGTACTTACCTACTTCAAGAGAGAACATTATTCTAGAAAGCCAAAGGGCTCTGAAGGAGAAGCTGGTAATTACTGAAAGCTGCTCCCTTCTCGCCAGTGCGGGAGGCTGTAGGCAATGCTATGGGGGAGGGCAGTTGCTCCTTGATTCAGGGACACTGGTGCTTCAGTCAGATTTGCTGGCAAAGAGAAATGGAGGAAAACTAGCTTATGTTGGACAACTCTGCCAAGCCAGGCCCTGTTCAAAGTGCTTCCTTCTCAGGTCATCTATGTTGGCCTTCAGTGTATTCCTTTATGATGCAGACAGGCGTTAACTACCCCCACCTTTTCTAGAGCCACCACACCTACTCCCCACCACAAGCAGCCAGAACCAGCCATTATGGCAGACACTCCGAGCCTAGCCTTTCACCCAGCAAACACGGGCAGCTCCCTGCCAGTACCTTGAGGAGACATGTTGCCTTTGAATTCTGAGACTGTGGTTCTCTATCAGTATAAAAATAAGGAAGCTGGCGTATTTGTCATTACTTGGCAACTTCTAAGCACACAGAAAAGAGGCCTGTCAACTCTGCTCCTTGTCTTGATTTGCTCTAGGAAAAGCTAAAATCTGGCTGGGGACAGGTTGGAGCTGTACTAGAAAGAAGGGAAAGACACAGTTCATTACTCAACAGTTCCCTCTAGGCAAGCTGAAATAGGTAAAACCTGTCACCTCTAAGGCACAGATACAAGGAAATTTGCCCAGTACTGTCAGCTGACCAGGGATAGAGCAGAACTAAAACTCAGTGCTCTCCCCTGGCTGCACAGAACCATGACTTTTGAAATGTGTATGACTGCTGCTTTTACTGCACATGTGACCAGTAACAGTGTGATTGGCACTGTCTGTCCTGAGGGAAGCTGTAGGGTTACTTGGGGTTATAGAGCAGAAACTTCACATGGTTGCTAACTATGAGAAAAGCCACTGGAGAATGAAATATATGACCAAGCTCTTCTGAACTAAGAGTAAGCAAAATCAAAGTATTTTGAAGGGAAAGAATTTGAGCTTTAGTTTGCAAAATTCATACAATGGGTGTTTCTTTAGATCACTAGATTTGTGATTCCTAAATCTTTCTTGGCACACAAGCCCACAGTGCCAGTAGGAAGCTCATATAGTGGAATGGGAGAGTGACTGTCCGGATCCTTTGGAGAACTTCTATGAGAAAGGAGACAGACTGCATCTGGGACCACACACCAGCATGGTAGAGCCAAGTGGCACAGTGCTTTAGGCATTTGCTCACTAGGCCTATAGCACCTATTTTCTAACTGCTGTCTGGAAAAATGTTGGATTTTTAACTTTCTTAGGGTAACTGTTGGTATTTATTCAACAGTGTATGCTAAGAGGTGTTTTAAAAAGTTTGTGTGTGATGCTCATTTGTGCTTCTGCACTAGAAGTAACTATAAATGTCTTTATTGAAGTTTATACTTTAAATGCACAATTTTACCTCATTTTATTATAAGGAATTGTTACAGAAAATGCAAATTTCATATTTTGAAAAATACATTCCATCACAGACTCCAAAGAAACAATGCTGATAAACGCCATGGTCTAGTATGCTGTCATCCCACAGTGACCACCATCCCCAATGGCTTGGGAGCTCAGGGGGTCAACTTCACTGTGTGCCTGCAAGTTCTGCCCAGTCTCTGCCCTTGCCCTCCCCTTGGTACCACAGGGATGCCATGGAACAGCCAACTCCATAACATCTGCCTAACAGGCCAGTCAGCAAGTACAGCAGACTCCTAGCTAAAGAAAACCAATGTTATTGGTTATAACAGGTTAATATTATTATTTATGCCACACAAAAGAGGAACTGTACTGGCAATGATCCTCCAAAGGAGGATCATTTAAGGCATCTTAAACTTTTGGGAATTTATGTTTTGTTTGCATCTGCCACTCAGCTCTTCACTAAATTACTTCACAAAGTGGCTTCCAAATGTCTTTCGAGAGCTGCTTCCTCTGTGCTGCTCCTCTCCTCAGCTGGGACAGGGACACTCCGGTGCTGCATGTGGTCCTCCTGGGTATGTCCTGAGGGAATCAGTGTCTCTAATGGAGGTGCACATTTACTTGTGCATGCTGATGTCACTGCCTGTTAGGTCTAAATTATATGGTTCAGCTGTGTTCTTTTTCTACATGTAAAGAAACCCAGTGTTCCTCCCCCTCCCACAGCTGCTCTCTACCCCTTATTTGTGGACAAGACTAGTGCAAGAGTAGTCCAATGAAACACAAAGAAACTGGGAAGAATGTTAAGACCACATGCAAAGACCCATTCAGGGACAGAGGGAGGAAGCTGACAGGTGTCAGCAACAATTCAACAGTCTGAGGTAGAGGACCAAAGGTCATGTGGACCCCACTCCCTGAAGAGAAGGTGACAGGTGAACTGAGCCGTCTAACCCAGCCTCAACTGAATTGTTAAATGGAGCTGATAGTGCACAAGCACAGAATCCCAAATGTTCTATCAGTCAGTGAGACACCACTGAGAAGCCCACAAAAGCAAAGTCCTAAGAGTAGGCACTTAAGTTTGAGGGACATGTGTGTGTTAAAAGGATCACAGCAAACTAGTTTAAGCCATTTTCTTTATACATAGTTTGACCTCTGTCTTAAAACTGTTAAGAATATACTTTAAGTCTGGCAATAAACAAGAGGCAGTTTAAATGCCAATTCAGCATAACAGTAGTGACTAATGTAGCAAATCACTTTTCAGAAAAGTTTATTATTCTGCTCTATTCATTCATAATTGGCAACCTTTAGAATGAATAAAATTAACTTTTTGCTATGAGTTCTCAAGCTACAGATGAAAATTTGACAAGAGCTAGGCAGTTTTGTCAGCAGAGATAGCATAAGAAGGTCAGAGTATGTCTGCTCCCTGCCAGGGCAGTGTATGGTAGAGCCCTGCAAGGTAGCCACTCCTTAAGAAACCTGATGAGTGCAGCCTACTGGCACTCTGACACTGACACTGCAAGGTCAGAGATCTAAGACTGGCACAATTGTGCCAAGTTCACACAAATGCATCAAGGCAGAACTGAAAAGAAAAAGAATATCCCCCAACCTATGGCTGGTCAGTATCATTGCTGTTCCTGGACTATGAAGAAACAGAAGTTGAGCATGATCTTAAGATTTTAAGTGCAATTATAGGAAAGATATTGAAATTGGTGTGGAAGGGTAAAGGCAGAAGTCAGCCTCATCCCTGACTGATACTCTATCCTCCTTGCTCCACTGGGAAAATTAAAAGACTATATGCATACCAACTACTTCGATTCATATCTGAACCGAAATTACCTTACTTTCTGATGAAAGAACCACACTATCTAATAAGTCCTTGTGGCCCATTTTAGGCCACAGAAATAGAAACTGACACACCCTTCACATGGTCATTGCCAAAATGCTTGAGCTTTTCTATAAAAATTCTATATGTAGTGGGGTACATTGGATCTGGTCTGTTTTTCCCCCCTTTTAAACATTGTGCACAAGCTCATATTAACACAGACAACATGTATCTTACAAATCAATTATTATTTTTTAAGTAGCACTCTGGTTTATCAGTACATTTACCCACATACTTAGGCAAAGGATGTATGAGTCTACATACATAGAAGACATAACACTATCTGAACGAAGCAAAATGAGTATTTAGTCCCTTTTACACATACTTCATTAATGCAAAAAAATGTAGTGGTTATTAAATGTCTGAAAAAATCAGTATATATTATTGAGATTGTTAATCTGAGTGTGTGTGTTATATATGTGTGTGTATGTGTGTGTGTATATATATGTATATATATGTATATATTTCAGGTATTGATTACCTCAGAGTTGTGTTTTTGTTTTGTTTTTAAAAATCAATGTTAGAAGTTTCTTTCTCAAGGTGCATTTTTAGAAAACTGGCCAAACCTTCAAAAGAAAAGTTAAAAACACCTCAGGGTTAAAATATTATTAAAGGTCCAAGTAGTCCTGGGATCCTCACTCAGCATTCAAGCCTTCCAAAAAATATTGCTCCTACTCAACTGGGCCTTCCGGCATCAGCTCTAAGGAAGCAGGGCAAGCTACACAAAATGGGAGCCACAACACTCACAGAATCCCAGGCAAGGTTTCAGCAAGAAGCACTTTTTTTTTTTTTGGTCATGATAGGGCTTGAACTCAGGGCCTGGGCACTGTCCCTGAGCTCTTTTTGCTCAAGGCTAATGCTCTACCACTTTTAGCCACAGAGCCACTTCTGATTTTCTGGTGGTTAATTGGAGATAAGAATCTCATGGACTTGGACTTTCCTGCCCAGGCTGGCTTTGAACCACAATCCTCAGATTTCAGCCTCCTGAGTAGCTGGGAATACTGGTGTGAGCCACCAGCACCAGGCCAAGAAGCATTTATATTGAGACAGGACATGATGTCCCAAGGCTGGAGTTGCACCTAGGACTGAAGTCTTGTTTATCTCCTTTCCAGCTGGATTGTATGAATTTCTTGTTCCAAGAGACATACGTGGTGGGAATTTTTCCTTTAACAGTGTGGGCCAAGGTGAGTCCAACTTGAACACTAGAATCACTGATGCAGGGATGTGTGAGGGTATTTTTGAATATGGAATTTTAAATTGGAATCATCAATAATGCAGCTATATAAAAAGTGCAGCACAATAAAAGTGCATTTCCTCTTCCACTCACTAGTGGCAGTGACTGAGGACTTCACAGACAGGACGCAGGAAGACGAGAGAATGAGACAGCTGTTAGGCGTCAAGCTGCCACACTGCACTCCTGACACCTCAGCAGCACAAACACTGGTAAAGCTTTCAGTTGTTAAGGCCACGATTTTTCAGCTCTCATCTTTGAACCCTGTTTAGAAAGATTTCACCTTTTTAAAAGGGGTAGCTCACTAAAAATATAGCTTAACTTTAAAAAGAAAAGACTTCAGGGCAAGAGGATCCTATTATCTTTATGAAACACTGTGCAGAAAAGTCCACAGCCACTTACTCTAGAATGAAGCCAGTTCATCCACAGCAGCTTCCTACACTGTCAGGCTCTGCCTCATAAGTCAGCCCAGGCAGGAAGAATTTGTTGAATGCTCTGAGATGAACACTAAGCTACTGAAAAGGAAAATGGTCTCCAAGTATCCCTATATGTTGCTAGTGGAAGGGGTTTGATTCCTATCACATTTATCAATCGGGCTAAATGGCTTGGCCCAATTAGTGAGACATATAGTGAAATCAATCACAGTCTGACACACTGACAATCACACAGAATCCGTTGAACTGGATCACACCATGGTCCTTAATTGTTCTGTCTCCTGCCACAGGAAGACCATTGTCAGCTCCTGCTCTGGATATTGATCAGAGCAGCTGCTGGGGAGGTGACCAGGGCCATGGCCTAGACCCAACTGGGGGCTCACTAAGAGACCCCACCCAGAGTCAGTACATCAAAGCAAATGTTGCATACTCGCACAGGCTTGTTCAGATCAAACTTTATAATAGGAATCTCCTTGGTCGAGCATTTATGGCAAAGAAGACGTCCGCAGTGGCGACTGTGGAGACAAAGAAACAAACTATGAGATGGGCTCTAAAGAACAGCCTGCCCCACACAGGCAGACAGGGCCAGCCCATGACTGCTGCTCTGGTGCCAGCATGAACAACTGCAAGCCAACTCATAATTCATAGGTAACTTAGTCTATAAAAATGAATTTCTGGGCTGGGGAACGTGGCTCAGTGGTAGAGCGCTTGCCTTGCATGCATGAGGCCCTGGGTTCGATTCCTCAGCACCACATAAGCAAAAAGAAAAAAGCCAGAAGTGGCGCTGTGGCTCAAGTGCTAGCCTTGAAGAGCTGAGTGACAGCACCCAGGCCCAGAGTTCAGGCCCCACGACCAGACCCCCCCCCCCCCAAAAAAAAAAACAACGAAATTCTAAGTTGGGCACTGGTGGCGCATGCCTGTAATCCTAGCTACTCAGGAGGCTGAGATCTGGAGGATCATTATTCAATGTCAGCCTGGGCAGGAAAGTCGGTGAGACTCTTATCTCCAATAAACCACCAGAAAACCAGAAGTGGCGCTGTGGCTCAAATGGTAGAGCACTAGCCTTGAGCTGAAGGGCTGAGGAACAGTGCCCAGGCCCAGAGCTCAAGCCCCACGACCGACAAAAAAAAAAAAAAAAAGCCTAACTAATAACTGAGCTTAAGTGATAGTGAGTTTCCTGGTGGAAGCCCCAGTCCTCAGTCCTATAGTATCTCCTGGGCACTGTGAGGTGATAAGTCATCTTAGTGACATAGGCCTGGGGCCTGCATGCCCTTGCCCCCAGTGAGTGCTCACCTTCCCTTCCCTATGGCTCTCCCAAGGCAGGATCCTGCCAAGGTCTATCATCTCCTCATGTCCTTTGGTCAACTTTGGCTCAGAGATGCTTATCATGGCAAGTTGAAAGCAAGGACATCCACAGAAGTGCCATCACTCCTCTCAAGGGATGACAGAAGTCTTACCAGTGATGTTTGCGAGTTGTTACTCCAAATTTGGCAGTGCACTCATAGCAGTTGGAGCCATCACACCACGGCGGCTCCTTGGACAGCATATCTGTAACACACAGGAGAAGATTAGTTCTTTTTTTTTGTCGGTCGTGGGGCTTGAACTCTGGGCTTGGGCGCTGTCCCTGCGCTCTTCAGTTCAAGGTGAGCACTCTACCGCTTGAGCCACAGTGCCACTTCTGGTTTTCTAGTGGTTTATTGGAGATGAGAGTCTCACGGACTTTCCTACCCAGGCTGGCTTTGAACTGAGATCCTCAGCTCTCAGCCTCCTGAATAGCCAGGATTAAAGGTATAAGCCACTGGCACCCGGCTTAGAAGATTAGTTCTGATTGCAGCTGGCAAATGTGGGGCTAAGGGAGTGCACACAGATATGAGGGCACAGTCAGGGAAAGCTGCCAGAGGAGAATGAAGAGCAGCAAGCACTGCCAGGCAGGTTGGAGGAAGTTCTGTGGGAAGCAGTCAGCCAGCTGCAAGTGGCAAATAAGTACAGTCAGGGCTGACTAGAGTGTAAGGCACGGTGGGCAGGAGGCAGAGATGTGCACACAGAAAGACTGGCAGAGGCTAAGTGGTCAGGAACACAGTGGGAGGGAACAAGACAAGTGAAATAGGATGAAGAATTTGAGATTTGGGGAATGAATAGGAGTGTGGGGTCTGAGAGCAAGACAGTGAACAGAAGGAGATAGTGATTCCCAGGTTTCTAGACTGAGTAACAGAGTCTGGAGAACCACCTGTGGAGATGAGTTCTACACTCACTAAACTTGGATGAGTGGTTGAGATAACAGGAACAATCACTAGTATTTATGGACTGGCCCTAAGTGCAGGCCAGTCCCTGCGCTTCTCCTCTGTATAGAGATACAGAGCTCATGGAGGGAGTGGCACAGGCACCTGTTGCATTGACACCATCTAATGACAGCACTGCGATGGCATTTGCTCTGAGCTCTTAAAAAGTTGACTGTGACATAGGAATAATTCCAAGTAATTTATCACAAACATCAGTTTAAAAAAAATTCTTTTTTTTTTTTGGCAGCCCTGGGGCTTCAACTCTGGGCCTAGGTTCTGTCCCTCAGCTTAAGGCAATGCTCTACCACTTGAGATACAATGCCACTTCCGGATTTTTTGGTGGTTAATTGGAGATAAGTTTCTCATGGACTTTCCTGCCTGGGCTAGCTTTGAACCATAATCCTCAAATCTCAGCCTCTTGAATAGCTAGGATTACAGGCATGAGCCACCAGTGCCCAGCTTTAAAAAATTCTTAATTGACACATACTTATTGTGCCTATTTTTGAGTAATGTATAAATTGATGCTTGTATATACATGTAATGATCAAATCAGCATAATGTTTCCTTCTCAAATCATTTCTTTATGTTAGAAACCTTTGTTTCTCTCCTCTAGTTCTTAATATGTAACGAAGTGTCATAAATCAGTCACCCTGGGGCTGGGAAGGTGGCTTAGTGGTAGAGCCTTTGCCTTGCATGCATGAGGCCCTGGGTTCGATTTCTCAGCACCACATAAGCAAAAAGAAAAAAGCCAGAAGTGGCGCTGTGGCTCAAGTGGTAGAGCGCCAGCCTTGAGCTGAAGAGCTGAGGGACAGCGCCCAGGCCCAGAGTTCAGGCCCCATGACCAGACCCAAAAAAATTAAAATAAATAAATAAATAGATAGATAAATAAATAAATCAGTCACCTTGCTCTGCTGAAGAACACTAGAACATATTCTTTCTACCTAAGTGTATTTTGGCAGCTATTATCCAACCTCCCTCTAGCTCTTCTCCCCCCTTCCCTCTTGTGGCCACTATTATTTCTTCTCCCTTTCCCTCCTTCTCTCTTTTTGAGACAGGGTCTCAGTCTGTAGCCCAGGCTATCCTTGAACTCGATCCTTAGTGCACACCTCGCAAGGGGCTTACTGATTCTTGCTACCATTCCAACAGGTAAGACAAAAAACACACAACTCAAAGAGGGAATCCAGTGTGAAGGCTGGGCACTCCTGGTTCACATCTATAATCCTAGCTACTGAGGAAGCTGAGATCTGAGGATCGCAGTATAAACCACCATGGACAAGAAATACATGAGACTCTCATCTCCAATTACCCACTAAAAAGCCAGAAGTGGAGCTGTGGCTCAAGTGGTAGAATGCTAGCCTTAAGCAAAAAATACTGATTTCAGCCCCCAGGACCAGCACACAAAAAAGGAAAAAAAATGAAAAAAGAAATCAAGTATGAAGTGCCCATCTTCTCCACAAAAGGAAAAGGGACAACAAAGAGTCAGTGGGGATTGAAGTTTAAAGTCATTTAGCTAGGCACCAGTGGCTCAGGCCTGTAATCCTAGCTACTCAGGAGGCTGAGATCTGAGGATCATGGTTCAAAGCCAGCCCAGGCAGGAAAGTCTGTGAAATTTATAAACCACCAGAAAACCAGAAGTGGCACTGTGGCTCAAGTGGTAGAACACTAGCCTTGAGCTGAAGAGCTGAGGGATAGTGCCCAGGCCCAGAGTTCAAGCCCATGACTGACAAAAAAAAAAACAACAACAACCAGATTTTAGAGGCTTTGGAACCAGCCAAAGGAGAAAAAGTGTGGAGATGTGTTAGGGTGACCTACCTAGAGCTTCTGGATTTCTCAAAAGTTCATGGAAAGTGGGAGGCTAACAGGGAGAAAGAACTCTAAAAAAAGACTACCAACAATGACCTTCTTCAATATTACTCATTCAGAGAAAGAGCTCTCTGCGGACCTAGAAATGGCTGGCTCATATCTTATAGCAAGTCATCACGAGATATGAAGATTACCAATACATTTGATAATCAACCCTGTAATATAGTTGTATAGAAATAGTGAAAAGCAGGCCACTCACCTAATAGTCTAAACAGAAGTTGCTTGGTGGCAACCTGGTAGTTGAAAATGTTGACTCCTTGGTTATTATTTACCCCAAGGCGAGCCCCAGATCGGACGATAGCACGGCACAAATTGGCATTCCCTTTCATGTATGCCAAGAGCAGCACTGGAAAACAAAACCACAGGTAGGGTCGCCTGGCTGGCATTGCAAAAGGTGAGAGAGGGCAGAACTGGCAAAACATTTGTTAGGAAAAATCTCTACAAAATATACAGAAACCTGAGACTAAGAGCTGAAGCATCTTCCAAAAGAAAGTACAGCCCCAGGCCAGGAGACCCCCAACGCAGATACATTCCCAGAAAACCACTCTTTCCCTGCTTGAGCTTCTGCTAAAGAGATCTGAGATAGATCTGACATTGATATTGTTGTCTAATTGTTTCCTCTGGTAGAAAACATTGCTTTTTACCACAAAGGACAAAGCTTGCTTTATACAGGATAACAAATATAAGAACTCTGATTTTAGTACAGAAGAAGAAAAAAAAATTCAGTGTTGGGAAAATGTTCCAGAAAATTCTATACAATGGAGCCTCTTTCCTGAAAGTGCAGGCCCACTGGGAACGTGGCTCTTAGTCAGATATCAGGTTTTTTTGTTATTGTTGGTCATGGGGCCTGAACTCTGGGCCTGGGTGCTGTCCCTCAGCTCAGCTGAAAGCTCAAGGTTAGCACTCTACTGCCTGAGCCACAGCACCACTTCCAGCTTTTTCTGCTTATGTGGTGCTGAGGAATCAAACCCAGAGCCTCATGCATGCGAGACAAGCACTCTACAGCTGAGCCACCTTCCCAGCCAGGTTTGTCTTTTTTATAGATAATTACAAAGAGCAGTAGCTCCCCTTGATTTATTCTTACCGGAAATTCTACTTAAGTTCTTAACTGTCAATGAGTCAATAATAAGGGCTCAAATAATTCAAAATAGTTACAAAAGCTATCATTCCAGTTATGAAACGTGCACAAAGATATAGGTTAGAAAATTCACCCAATGAATCTCCTAAAACATGACAGTAAAGCAAGTGAGATCTAGGCTCTGTAAATAAGAAGCTCACACTGCAAGCCTATCAACCTGTTCTCAGGGCAGTTATGCTTCCTGAATCAATGCTGGTTTACCAGCGCACATCTTACTCCTTGGGCTCAGGCACATCACTGTTGGCTCAAAACCATGCTCATTGAGCTGGGAGGTAGCTCAGGGATACAATACTTGCCTAACAAATTTGAAAGGGCCTGGGCTTGATCCCTACCACTGCAAAGAAACAAACAAACAAACAAAAAAACCCAAAATAAAAAACTAGTGGCTCATACCTTTAATTCTAGCTATTCAGGAAGCTGAGAGCTGAGGATCATGGTGCAAAGCCAGCTGGGGCAGGAAAGTCTGTAAGGTTCTTATCTCCAGTTAACTACCAGAAAATCTGAAAGTGGAGCTGTGACTCAAAACGGTAGAGCAATGGCCTGGAGCAAAAAAAGAGCTCAGGGAGAGTTGAGTTCAAGCCTCATGACCAACAAAACAAAAAACATGTTCACATGTCAAGGCCAAGTATTCCTCCTAAGGCCAAGAAACAGTAGCAAAAGTACTGTTTCCCCCTAAGGTTCAGAGTACTGTGGTGACAACATTTCTGTGTGGCCTGTCTGGCATGGGGATAGAAGAATGAAGGAGCATGCAGTAAAAATAAAAAGCACTCAGAGATCTAGCAAGGATGAAAGAGACTGTGTGTGTGTGTGTGTGTGTGTGTGTGTGTGTGTGAAGAATGAAGGAGCATGCAGTAAAAATAAAAAGCACTCAGAGATCTAGCAAGGATGAAAGAGTGTGTGTGTGTGTGTGTGTGTGTGTGTGTGTGTGTGTGTGTGTGTGTGTGTGTGTGTGTGTGTGTGTGTGTGTGTGTGTGTGTGTGTGTGTGTGTGTGTGTGTGTGTGTGTGTGTGTGTGTTTTGATTGATCACAGGGCTTGACCTCAGGGCTTGGGTGCTGTCCCAGAGATTTTTTTGCTCAAGACTACTGCTCTACCACTTTGAGCCACAGCACCACTTCCAGTTTTCTGGTGGTTAATTGGAGATCAGAGTCTCCCAGACTTTCCTGCCCAGGCTGGCTATTGAAACCCAATCCTCAGATATCAGCCTCCTGAGCAGCTAGGATTACAGGCATAATCTGCTAGAGCAGACTATGAAAGAGATCTATTTATTAATCCCTCAGTAAGGATGTACCTGTATCAATACATACATACTAGTAGTATATTTCCTCTGAAACCAGGGAAGTGTTTATATCTTATCTCTCTGCTAAAATTGAGAAGGAACTTGGGAAAGGCCCTGTTTAAGAGATAAAGAAGGGCAAAATGGATGGTATAAACAGATGAGCGGGCCTGTCTGGCCTTGGGTATGGCTTGGATTTGATGTCAGATACTCCAAATTCCATAACATGGATCTGGAATTGATGCTAAGAGTCCGGGGGAATATACAAAGCTGACTGCCCTCAGGTAATGACATGAATGCCAAGTCTACTTCTTTAGGAAGCAAGGTGCACAAATGAGACAGGACTTACAGACACCTTATTACCTACCTGTGTTTCCTTCTGCATCTGGCTTATCCAGAGGATACTCAGGCATGCACTCTAAGAAGAGATCAAAGATGGCTGCTGCATTCTCTTTGCCATACTGCCCCAAAATGTGCAGTGGTGACTGGCCTCTGATGAAACAAATTGGAAAAGTTAGTATGTATCTACATGTCCATAGTACACAAAAGATACTGAATTTTCTGAACTTTGTGATACTGGATAAATCTAAAGGACATATGACAGGTCAAAAAGATTTTCTAGCTGGGCACCAGTGGCTCATGCCTATAATCTTAGCTACTCAGGAGGCTAAGATCTAAGGATCTCGATTTGAAGCCAGCCTGGGCAGGAAGTCCATAAGAAGATTCTTCTTTCTTCTCTCTCTCTCTTTTTCTTTTTTCCGTCAGTCATGAGGCTTGAACTCTGGGCCTGGGTGCTGTCCTTCAGCTCTTTAGCTCTAGGTGAGCACTCTACCACTTGAGCCACAGAACCACTTACGGTTTTCTGGTGGTTAAGAGTCTCATGTACTTTCCTGCCTGGGCTGGCTTTGAACTGTGATCCTCAGATCTCAGGCTCCTGAGTAGCTAGGATTACAGGTGAGCCACTGGTTCCTGGCTCTATTAGACTCTTATTTAAAAAAAAAAAAAAAACTACCAAAAAAGCACAAGTGAAGCTGTGGCTCAAGTGGTAGAGCCCTAGACTTGCACCCAGGTCCTAAGTTCAAAACCCTAGTAACAGCGAACACACACACACACACACACACAAACTTTTCTAAAAAGTTTTTTTTTTGAAGCCAGAAGTAGAGATGTGGCTCAAGTGGTACAGCACCAGCCTTGAATGGAAAAAGCTAAGCAAGAATAAGGTCTTGAAAAAAAAAAAAAAAAAGAATAAGGTCTTGAGTTCAAGTCTCAGTATCAGCATGTGTACACACACACACACACACAGTGTGCTTTTTTTGTTTTTAAATATAAAACCAAACTTGACTAAGCTGGTCAAGTTCCCCATGGTCAGACTTAAAGTTTGGAGCTGGGGCTAAGGGGATGCACCTCCAGCTTCCAGGAGCAGGCTGGTCTCTGCTTGAGATCAAACATACTCACCTCAGATTAAAGGCTTCAGCATCCACTGTGCACTCTGTCAGAAGAACCCGGATGTTGTTGAGTCGACCATGCATGACAGCAAGATGAAGAGCTGGAGAGTAAATCCTCTTACTGCGCAAGCCCAGAGCACACGCAGAAAATTCTCAGCTCTTCCCCACTCTCCCAAACCCCACTAAATTCAATGAAGTCAGAGCAGGGAACAGCCATGCACAGACCCATCCTTTCCTTCATCTTCTCCACCCCCAGGATAAGGCATACTGCAATTTCATGGGCCTTTGCTTTCTGTTTCAGCACTCTCACAGGTGAGAGGCTTCACAAGAAGTCCCTTTAGGCTGCCAAGTTACCAATCCCACTGGCCAGCGGAAGGATGGATAGCCTGCGTGGTGTGCTTCCTTTCATAGCTCTGCTCCTGTAGAAGCCAACCCATTGGTACTATGTACTTCCACTGCTATGATGGAAGCACTGCTCACAGCACTCAGCATGTGCACAGGCCAATCACTGGGAATTACCATTATTTCCATTCTCATCCACAGCAGCAAAGTCTACCCCATTCTCTAGGAGGACTGAGCAAACGGTAGGCAGGTCCTGCTGGGCAGCAAGATGGAGGGCAGTCTGGCGGTGCTTCGTTAATTCATTCACCTTGGCTCCTGCAAGAAGCTGATGAAGTTGATTACTCAAGCAGCCTCTCCCATAGTCAAGATCTTACTTATAGGGGTCAGGCCTCTGACATGGCTGAAAATTCTCCCTGGAGGCTTATCTATCCTGATGCCAAAGCTGGGGACTTGAAGGCCTCACAAATAGTCCTCAAGCACAAATTACCTACCAGCATGTAAACAGCTATTCCTTGAGATGCGAGAATTCTATTTATAAAGCTTTAGTATATAGCCGGGTGCCGATGGCTCAAGCCTGTAATCCTAGCTATTCAGGAGGCTGAGATCTGAGGATTGCAGTTCAAAGCCAGCCCAGGCAGGAAAAGTCGGTGAAACTCTCCTCTCCAATAAACCACCAGAAAACCGGAAGTAGCGCTATAGCTCAAGTGGCAGAGTGCTAGCCTTGAGCTGAAGAGCTGACGGACAGCGCTCAGGCCCAGTGTTCAAGCCCCACGACCGACAAAAACAAAACAAAACAAAGCTTTAGTATACATAAACTGTATAGCACTATACCATATAAAGATGTCCAATGCTTGTAATAAAACCTCATAAAAAAGGATATAAAAGTATAAAAGATAATAACATACACGGATAGTAAAACAAAGTAGCCAATAAGATGATAAATAAGTATGAAAAGATGTTGACTATATAGTAAGTTAACAGAAAAAGAGAGCTTTCCAGGTGCTAATGGCTAACCCCTGTAATCCTAGCTACTAGGAGACTGAGATCTGAGGATCATGGTTTGGAGCCAGTTGGGACAGGAAAGTCTGTGAGACTCTTTATCTCCAACTAAACACAAAACCAGAAGCGAAGCTGTGGCTCAAGTGGTAGAGTGCTAGTCTTGAACAAATAAGCTCAGGTACAGTGCCCAGACACTGAGTTCAAGCCTCAGGACCTGCACCAAAAAAAAAAAATTTTTTTTTAAAAGGTAGCTTATTTCCCCACTGTGTAACCTGTGGAGCAATGGGACATTTATTCTCTGACATACTATTTTCCTGAGTGTATTTGCCTAGCTCCCAGATTCTTGCTGCCTTTCACAACCCCTGACAAAACACCTGTGAGTAGAAATTCTGCACATACCCTACATTGTCCTTTGACAATGTTACATGCAACGCTGATTCTGTGTCACTTACCAAATTGCGGACAATGATCTCTGAGCCTGCTTGTACAGCAAGGTGCAAAGGGGTCAACTTGGAAGCATCCTGGACTCTAGAGTTCACATTGGCCTGGACACTGATCAGGAAGAGGACGCTTTCAATATCAGAGTTCTGAACTGCCACATGAAGAAAATTCCGACCTTTGTTATCCACCTAAGGAAACAGCAGCAACCAAAGTATGAACAAGCTCCCCATTGCATTTTATTGGTACTGGAGTTTGGACTGAAGGCTGTAGGCTTGCAAGGGGGAGGTACTCTCCCACATTGCTATATCCTAACACTAGGCTTCCTTTTAGAGTGACTCTGAACACTTGCAAACTCACTACTACATCACTAGAAAGAAAATGACATATAGTCCTTCCACTCCAAAAAAGATCCTTTCCAACTCAAGTCTAATACCAAACGCCCCGCTCTCTAAAAGAACCAGGCCCACAGACGCATGCAGTCAGGAGAAGGAGCCACTGCACTGGCCCAAGCTTCCCTGCTACCTTCCTGCAGCAGTAACTGGAAGTGGAAAATCAAGGAACAGACAAGCTAAAGGACAGGGAAAGGATAAAATACTAGGCTGCTCACAGGGAGGTGAAGGTGGAGTTTAGCCTTGAGTCACTGTGTGGCTAAACCAAGCGTCCAGACTTAACCCCGAGCAGCCAAACAAAAGCTTCTGAAATTCTGAGAATGTTTTTTTGTTTTTGGTCAGTCATGGGGTTTGAACTCTGGGTCTGGGCACTATCCCTGAGCTCTTTAGCTCAAAGCTAGCACTCTACCACTTGAGCCACAGCTGCACTTCCAGTTACCTGGTGGGTAATTGTTGTTAAGAGTCTCATGGACTTTCCTGCCCAGGCTGGCTTTGAACCGTGATCCTCAGATCTCAGCCTCCTGAGTAACTAGGGTTACAGGTATGAGCCACCAGCACCCGGCAGGATGTTTCTTCTTTTACTGAGCTACAGAATATAAAATAGGGAAGTAGCCAGCAGTATGTCACAGATTTTTCCTCAGTGATGTAGACCAGGTAGAAGCTCACCCAAATAAAACCACACCATATGCTGTAGTTAACAGGAGCTGTCAGTACAAGTGCGTGAGTGGACGTGAGGATACCACATGCTCCATATTCTCTGCCCCTCTTGTGCCCCACGCACATGCACACACAGACACAGCATGGGCTGTGTAGCAGGCAAGGCAATTACACAGGACTTGGAGTGGCAATAGCAGCTTCACATAAATGCTGAGGAAATGTGAAATGACAATCTTCATTCATCTAAGTGCAGAGAGGTAAATGCCCACACAATCCAGTCACACTTAGGAAAAATGAACAAAGGTACAGAAGCTCAAAATATAAAGCAATAATCTTCATGCATGCTAGGACTTCATTTCATTCAAGCCCACATTCACCTTCATTAAAGGGCTCCTTATAAATCCTGGCATATTCTATATGCTGGCTAGAATCAGGTTCCTGTAGGACCAAACTGACAAACCCATCGCAGCTCCTGCCTTGGGTCAGTCTTGACTGTGTTTCTCGCCTACTCTGGTGTAGAGCAACAAGTCACCATCTGGATTTAGTAGCTGATAAAAAGCCACAAAGAACAAAGGTAACAGCCTGCTAAGTTGAATAACAATCTAATACCTCTTAAGACACTCAGAAAGTAGTCTAATATCACAACAGAGTATCTTGAAGTTCAACTGAAATCTTAAGACAGCAAAAGTGAGTATGAGCTTAGCTGTGCATAGCACAAATCTTATCACCAGCTCAGAGAGCAGTCACCTCCACCTAAGTGCACATCACTACGTGGCTGACACACAAAGTGAAGTAGCCACATCTCAACCAGCACTACCGGATATCTGTATGGCCATACTTTCAGAAAAGGGGGTATCATTTCAGAAAAATGTATTTGTGTAGAAGAGACCACTTGGTTGGCAGCATCTGTTTGGTTTCTGTGTGTTGTCACTCACCTGCTCAGCAGCCCCAGACTCTCGCTTTAGGATGGCCTCAGCTGCCTTGTTATTCTTGTAAGTCATGGCGCAGGCAAAGGGGGTGAGCCCTTGTCTGTCTCGTTCATTCAGATGGATATTAGGGTGAGAAATCAACAGCTGAATGATGACACTGTGCTGGTTGCTGATGGCCACGTGGACAGGTGTTCTTCCTTCTGCATCCTGTAGGAACAAGGCAGATTTCAATGTCCAGTTCAAAGATAGAACTCAGGAAAAGTAACCGGAGCCAAATTTCATTTATACAATAAATACCATAGCTCTTTTTTTTTTTTTTTTGTCAGTTGTGGGGCCTGTACTCTGGGTCTGGGCGCTGTCCCTCAGCTCTTCAGCTCAAAGCTAGCGCTCTACCACTTGAGCCACAGCGCCACTTCCGGCTTTTTCTGCTTATGTGGTGCTGAGGAATCGAACCCAGGGCTTCATGCATGCAAGGCAAACACTCTTACCACTGAGCCACCTTCCCAGCCCATAGCTCTCAACTGTTAAAGAAGCCAGACACAAAAGAACTAGAAGCTACCCCCCCATTACATCATGCTCCAATGACAGGGGATCTAGCAGAAACATTTTGGAAGATGTGCAGCTTGTACCATTGCCAATCCATCTATCAATTCAAACCTTCCCAGGTCCAAATATTGAAAAGCATCAAGGAATATAAGAACCAGGAGAGCTCATTTGAGTTACCTTAACACTAAACCAACTCTCAGTGGAAATCTATAACAAAGGGGGAATAGGAGATAAGGAAATATGGATAAGATTAATAAAATAAAGATGTTGTAGGAAGATAAGACATTAGGAAGTCTGAAGCTGGAATCAATTCAATTGCTAGGTAAGCTATATAACTCAGAAAAAGTCCAGTGTATGATAAAGCAGAGGCCCAAGAAAGGCCATCTGCAGGGTCCCTTGCCACAAGAGACTTCCCTTATTGTGGGGTTACCATTAATGCTTCTGGCAAAGAGAAACTGCCCACCTGTGCATTAACATTAGCACCAAACTCCAGAAGACACTGCACAGTCTCTTCCAGTCCCCATGAGGCTGCCAAATGCAGGGGTGTCTGCCCATCCCTGGCCTCTTCTTCTCCTTCTCCATTAGCACCTGGTTGCCGGGGACTATTCACATCACAGCCACTGAAAGGAAACAGAAGGAAGGCCATGCTTCTACCTTGCCTACAGTCATGCAGATGGACCAACAGCAGCACCTTCATCCAATCCACCAAAAACTTCTTCTGCCATAATCTATCCTTGGTCCTTGACATCAAATACTGAGATCTGAGTCCCACTCTCAGAGATTCTTTCCCAGTTGGTCTTGGGAATAACCTGGGCATCTGAACTGTTGCAAAATCCCCAAAGGATAGGCACATATTTAAAAGTTAAGAAGCACTGCAGGGGCTGGGAAGGTGGCTCAGTGGTAGAGCGCTTGCCTTGCATGCATGAGGCCCTGGGTTTGATTCCTCTGCACCACATAAGCAAAAAGAAAAAAGACAGAAGTGGTGCTGTGGCTCAAGTGGTAGAGCACTAGCCTTGAGCTGAAGAGCTGAGGGACAGCGCCCAGGCCCAGAGTTCAGGCCCCACAACCGGACCCAAAAAAAAAAAAAAAAAAAAAAGAAGCCCTGCATTAATAACCTTTCCTAAATAAGCTTACTCCACAGCATGTCTCACAGGTTGAGAGGGCAAAGAAACCTCTTGTAGCTCCAGCACCTTGGTAGGATCCAACAGAGACCATCTGATCTCTATTTCAGCCTCCTGACTTCCCAGTTGACTACAGAAACCCATGCAGCTCCCAAACCAGAAGCCAGTCTTTGATTCAGGTGTGGGAGCCCCTCCCCTCACAGATGAGCCTGCCCTAGGCTGACTTGACAGAACAATGGCCCCCTGACTATCTTAATGATTAAAATCAAGCCAGCCAAAGGCAAGTCAGGACTGGAGGTAGATTCACATAGACAGTGAGTATGCAACAGGCTAAGAAAGATTTTAAGAGATACTTGGGCTTCTCGGACCTGCGAATAAGAAAGCAGGCGCTGGACTCGTTGTTTTCATCAATGGCTCTGTGCAAGAGTGTCTGAAGGCACCCGCTAGGACCTGGACCCCAGAATGTGGCATCACAACCATGTCTGACCTGCAGAAAAACACAGGTTGCTGTCAAGCAAAAGTGAAAATTTTCATTACCAACTCTGAGCTCTATGTAATTAACTGAAAATAACTTTAATCCATGTACTTCATTAGTTTTACAAACACTAATTAAAATCTGCTGAGTGTAAATTCTTACACTATTCCTGTGGGATGCATTCAAAATATAAATATGTTTAATTAGGGCCCTAGACTTGTGTTCTAGAAGGGAAAAAGAACAGTTTGTACTTGTAAGCCCCCAGCAACACATACCTGTAATTAACAGGTAATCTCAGTAACAGCTGATAAAATCCCAGGTATAAAATGCCTCAATGTCATATTGCAGGCCATTCAAAACAGCTAAATGAGAAAATCCAGGTCTGTCTCATCTAGATGCATGTCTTGCAACAAGGGAGACAAAGCAGATATTTGGGGATTCATCACTGTAGTGACGATGAGGTAGCCCAGGATAAATATCCTGAGGGAATGCACCAACGCTGGCTCCTCTGTGGTCTTCTTAGTAAAGAGCCCACATAAAAGTGTTTGGCCAGGATGACATTGAATTGTATGTTTTCTTAAAATGATTTTCAACTACTCATCTTTGACCCAGTTTATGACTTGGCAGATCTCTTGTTCCTGTGATTGGCACACAGCCATCAAATCCATTTCTGACACAAAATATCCTCATCTGTAAGCAAAGGCAAGGTTGTACTTGTCTCACCAGAGTGGATGCAATGTCCTCCAGGTTACTGGTCAAGGCAAGCCACAGTGGGGGGTTTCCTTTCTCATCTGGCACCGACATGTCAGCTCCTCGGGTGCATATGGCATCGACTACAAGTGGAAGCTGATTTCTGATAGCCAGCTGAAGGGCCATCTCCCCATCCTGAGTCCTGCACACCAAAACCAAAACAATGTCTGCAAAGGATACAGGGCACCCTTCTGGGAGTTTCAGAGCCCAGACTTCACTGCATGCCATAAACACATTTCATTCAGTCACTAGAATTTTATCCTAGAAATGAAAACTGCCAGTTGTGCTTGTGTCCTCTGCCTTTTTGAAAAATGCAGCACTACCATCTTACTGTATCCCAAAGATAAAGATAAGTGACCCCCAAACTTAAAATCCTACAGGAATACAGTTCTTTGCATAGCATCATTATTAAATGCCAACAATAAAATGTCACCCCTACTACCTACCTGACAAAATAGTTCTTTCCTTGGACACTCAGGATCATTTAATATTGGAGGTTCAGAAAAGTAAGTTCATGTGAGGGCTGGGAATGCGGCTTAGTGATAGAGTGCTAGCCTTGAGCAAAAGAAGCTCAGGGACAGTGCCCAGGCCCTGAGTTCAAGCCCCAAGACTGACAAAAAAAGAAAAAGAAAAAAAGAAAAGAAAACACAACCATAATAAAACTGGAACTGATTTTTCCTCTCAAGTCTTACTTGTAGTTTTGTTGGGATGGTCTTTATTTTAATTGAAATTCCTATTCCAAAACTGATTTTGGACTTTTTGTTGTTGTTGCTGTTGTTGGTTGTGGGGCTTGAACTCTGGGCCTGGGAGCTGTCCCTCAGCTCTTCACCTCAAAGCAAGCGCTCTACCGCTTGAGCCACAGCACCATGATTACAGGCATGAGCCACCGGGGCCCAGCTTGTTTTTTATAATGAGATTTTGTGCAATATTGTGCAATGGTTCTGAAAGATTCCAATAAGAGCAATGGTCAGTTTTCCTTCACCACATACTCTACTGATATTTATATGTAAACTGACATTTACACTGTCCCTATTTGTGGAAATCAAACCCAGCCTTATGCCTGCTAGGCAAGTGCTGAATCATACCTTCCTCTTCAATTTTTCTTTTTTGCCAGTCCTGGGGCTTGAACTCAGGGCCTGAGCACTGTCCCTGAGCTTCTTTTATTTATTTATTTTTTTATTAAGTTTTTATTGTGAAAATACTGTACAGAGGGGTTATAATCACATGAGCAAGGTAATGAGTACATTTCTTATCAACCATTGTTGCCTCCTCCTTTATTTATTTATTTTTTGCTCAAGGCTAGAACTCACCACTTGAGCCATAGTGCCATTTCCAGCCTTTTCTGTTTATGTGGTACTGAGAAATCAAACCTAGGGCTTCATGCATGCTAGGCAAGCACTCTACCACTAAGCTACAGCGCTACTTCCAGTTTTCTGGTGATTAACTGGAGATAAGTTTCATGGACTTTCTTGCGTGGGCTGGCTTTATACTGCAATCCTCAGATCTCAGACTCCTGAATAGTTAGGCATGAGACACTTGTGCCTGGTTCATTTGTACTTATTTGTTGTTGTTGTTTGTCGTGGGGCTTGAATTCTGGGCCTGGGCACTGTCCCTCAGCACTTCAGCTCAAGTTAAGCACTCTACCACTTGAGTCACAGTGCCACTTCCAGTTTTCTGGTGGTTTATTGGAGATAAGAGTCTCAGGGACTTTCCTGCCCAGGTTGGCTTTGAACCTCGATCCTCAGATTTCAGCTTCCTAAATACCTAGGATTACAAATGTGAGCCACCAGTGCCCAGCTCATTTGTACTTTTTAAGAGTCATGTTTTCCCTTCCTCTATTTAATGAGGAATGAAAATATTTTCTCGAAGCAAAGCTCTATTTCTGAGCCATCTGAGGTGTGATATGGTGTTACAATGGAAGGTGCCACTTCATCCCACCTGACATTTATATCTGCTTGATGCTCCAGAAGAAAGAGTGCACTCTTGCTATCCTGACGTTGTATGGCCATGTGCAGCAAAGTCTGCCCATCCGACATGGTGTCATTGATAGAAGCCCCAGAGCCAAGCAGCTGAGCTGCTATTGTGTGCATACCTGAGAAATACACAAGCCCTCATTAATGCATACTCAGCTTTCCCCACTTCTTAGATATCATATGACAACAAATAAACCCCTCTCAACTTCTCACAGTTACAGTTTTCCAGTGGATATTATAGGCTTAACTCAAGCAGAAATGTTCTCTCTCCCACTCTCCTATATACCCTGGGTATGTGTGTTCTCATCTACCTCTGGGACAGCTTACCAGTCCATAACGCCAGGCCCAGCACGGTCTGGTCTCGAGAATCCTTGAGGCTGAAGTCCGGAATAATTTGTAAGTTGTTGGTAGCATGAAGAGCATTGGCTAGATTTTTTTTAAGAGGAAAAGAAACTTGATTTGACCATCTTATGGATCACATTTAAAGAATTCAAGAGGATAAGAACTCGTTTGAACTGGTTATATGATAATTACTATTTCAATACAACAGAAGACCAGAGTCAAAGTCCAGAAATATAATTATTATAATTATTTGGTACCAGTCCTGGAGCTAGAACTCAAGCCCTAGGCGCTATCCCTGAGGTCTTATTCAAGGCTAGTTGCACTAATACTTGATCCACAGCTCCACTTCTGGCTTTTTAGTGGTTAACTGGAGATAAGAGTGTCGCAGACTATCCTGCCTGGGCTGACTTTGAACCACAATCCTTAGACCTCAGCTTCCTAAGTAACTAGTATTATAGGTATGAACCACTAATGTCTGGCAAAATTATTTCTTAAAACCAAAAAATGGATTCTTCTTATAAGAAAGACGTGACCTTGGGCTGGGAAGGTGGCTCAGTGGTAGAGTGCTTGCCTTGCATGCATGAGGCCCTGGGTTTGATTCCTCAGCACCACATAAGCAAAAAGAAAAAAGCCGGAAGTGGCACTGTGGGCCAAGTGGTAGAGCGCTAGCCTTGAGCTGAAGAGCTGAGGGACAGTGCCCAGGCCCAGAGTTCAGGCCCCACGACCGGACCCAAAAAAAAAAAAAAGACGCTACCACAGAAACACACATTCATTTCATGCTTATTAAAACAAAGATTAAAATAATGCCCTGACAATGCTTCCGAATACCTAATTCCTTCTTCTTCTTTTTTTTTTGGTCATGGGCTGGAACTCTGGGCCTGGACGCTGTCCCTAAGCTCTTCAACTCAAGGTGAGTACTCTACCACTTGAGCCATAGCACCACTTCCAGTTTTCTGGTGGTTAATTGGAGAAAAGAGTCTCAAAGACTTTCCTGCCTGGACTGGCTTTGAACCGTGATCCTCAGATCTCATCCTCCAGAGTAGCTAGGATTACAGGTGTGAGACACCGGCGTCCAGCACCTGAAGAGGCATTCTACTATACAGCTCACTTTCCTTCAGGAGTATAATGTTAAAACATGTAAGACTTGGGAGGATTAGGACAAGTGAAACAAATTTTGGAACAGGTGAGAGACAAGCAGCAGAGGATTTCTGTGTGGCGCCAGCTTTTCCATGGCAGGGCTTCCCTTTGCCTCTCCTGCTGGCTCCCCTCTCACACGCCATCTCCAGGGCTTCAGAAACAGACTAACCATCGTGGAGGACCTGTGTGACAGAGTTCTTAGTGCCCATGCCAAGGTAATGCTCTGCTTGACCTATTCTAAAATGGTCTGGAAAAATGACCCAAACAAAAGATAGAGCAGAGCACAAATCCTCACAGCTTATCCAGTGAAAACATAGTAATTATGATTCAGATTATGTAGTTTGACCCAGATGGATATTTTTGAAAAAGAGACTGGTTATTTAAAATAACCAACAAGCCGGGCACCGGTGGCTCATGCCTGTAATCCTAGCTACTCAGGAGGCTGAGATCTGAGGATCTCGGTTCAAAGCCAGCCAGGCAGGAAAGTCTGTGAGACTCATATCTCCAATACACCACTAGAAAACTGGAAGTGGCGCTGTAGCGCAAGTAGCAGAGCACTCGCCTTGAGCTGAAAAGCGCAGGGATAGCGCCCAAGCCCAGAGTTCAAGCCCCACCACCAACAAAAAACAAAACAAAAACAAAACAACCAAACAATAGAAGTGACATCTACTTCATAATTAACTACCCAAAGCAACTGTCCAAAACTCAAATTGATGGGATGGACAGAATTCCCAACTACCTACCTTTCTGTTCCAGAATGACAGACACCACATCAGGATGGTTACAGGCAATTGCCATGTGCAGTGGTGTCTGCAGGTGGATGTTGTCTGTGCAGCCAGTCAGGGTCATAGCCTCTTTTGGCAAAGGCAGAGCCTCCTCTGTCTGTAAATTTGGGTTGGCACCTTGTTGCAGGAGCTCTGCTGTGAGGTTGGCCAGCCCATGCCGACATGCAGTGTGCAAGGGGGTTTCTCCCTAAATAGAAACAAATGGCCCAGATCTAAGCAAACTGCTGAAACCCAAGTTCCTACTACTTTTCCTGTCACCAGCTGATCTCTGACTTTTTCCATTTTCCTCTCTGCCACCACCATTTTCTTCAGTGTTGTCTCAAGTACTTTCTAAGTGCCCTGGCTTCCCATCTTCTTCCTCTCCTATGATCTCCTTTGCACCCTTCACTTCCATAATTACTTTTCTAATTATGAAAAGAATGTATTCTTCTTCTTATAAAACCACAATGACATGTATCAAGTGTAGGAAGAACAATGAAACACTGTAGAAAATGGCAGGGCCTCTAAGTCATGGCCCCAAAGGTAAGCAGTTTCAATACAACTCAGGCTGGGAAGGTAGCTCAATGGTAGAGTGCTTGCCTTGCATGCATGAGGCCCTGGGTTCGATTCCTCAGCACCACATAAGCAGAAAAAGCCGGAAGTGGCACTGTGGCTCAAGTGGTAGAGCACTAGCCTTGAGCTGAAGAGCTGAGGAACAGCTCCTAGGCCCAGAATTCAGGCCTCACGACCGACAAAAAAAAAACACAAAAAACCATAAAATAAAATAAAAAAATACTACTTCTCTTTCATGGCCTGTCAGTACCTGTTTCTTTACCCTGCTTAAACCAACCTTACCTTGAACTTCTATCAAAACCTCCTCTCACTTTCAAAACTTAAAGGCAATGTCCCTGAGCTCTTCAGCTTAAGGCTACGGCTCTACCACTTGAGCCACAGTGCCTCTTCCAGCCTTTTCTGTTTATGTGGTGCTGAAGAATCGAACTCAGGGCCTCATGCATGCAAGGCAAGCACTCTACCGCTGAGCAACCTTCCCAACCCCAAAACTTGAAGACTTTATGGTGGTACTGGGGTTTGAACTCAGGGGCTTGCTGCTTGCTAGGCTAGTAGTCTACCATGTAAGCCACACCTTAGGCCTGCTTTGTGGAGTCTAGCAAACTTTTCTGTCACAGCTGGCCTAATACAATACCTCAATCCTCCAGATTTCAATCTCTTGAGTAGCTAGTAGGTTTAAAGGTATGAACCACCAATACCCAGCTTAAAATCAAAGACATTTTAAATTGATATTACAGGTATCTGGTTCAATATTCAAAAAGTTTAAGAATATATAATGAGTGGCTGGGAAATTGGCTCAGTGGTAGACTGCCTGCCTCATATGCATGAGGCCTTGGGCTCGATTCCTCAGCACCACATAAGCAGAAAAAAGCTGGACTGTGGCTCAAGTGGTAGGGCGCTAGCCTTGAACTGAAGAGCTGAGGGACAACACCCAGGCCCAGAGTTCAGCCCCCACAACTGACAAAAAAAAAAAAAGAAAGAAAGAAAGAAAGAAAAGGAGTCTTAGCTGGGCGCTGGTGGCTCACGCCTGTAATCCTAGCTACTCAGGAGGCTGAGATCTGAGGATCGCAGTTCAAAGCCAGCCTGGGCAGGAGAGACCATGAGACTCTTATCTCCAATAAACCACCAGAAAACCGGAAGTGGCGCTGTAGCTCAAGTGGTAGAGCGTTCACCTTGCGCTGAAGAGCTGAGGGACAGTGCCCAGGCCCAGAGTTCAAGCCCCATGACCGACCAAAAAAAAAAAAAAAAAAGAAAAAAAGAAAAGGAGTCTTAGCCAGGTGCCAGTGGCTCATACCTGCAATCCTAGATACTCAGAAGGCTGAGATCTGAAGATCATGGTTCAAAGTCAGCCCAGGAAGGAAAGTCTGTGAGTCTCCAATCAACTACTCAAAAAAGCCAGAAGTGGTACTGTGGCTCAAGTGGTAGAGTGCTATCCTGGAGCACAGAGAGTCTCAAGGACAGAGTGTAGGCCCTGAGATCAAGCCCCAGGACTGGCAAAAAAAAAAAAAGTAGTCTTATCTTGGCAGCCAATTATCCTCCCCAACAAATATTACAAGTTTTGTTGTTTTTTTTTTTTTTTTTTTTGGGTCCGGTCATGGGGCCTGAACTCTGGGCCTGGGTGCTGTCCCTCAGCTCTTCGGCTCAAGGCTAGCACTCTCCCACTTGAGCCACAGTGCCACTTCCGGTTTGTTTTTTTTTCTGCTTATGTGGTGCTGAGGAATCGAACCCAGGGCCTCATGCATGCAAGGCAAGCGCTCTACCACTGAGTCACCTTCCCAGCCCCAATATTACAAGTTTTATGTTTCTCTTCAGTGGTAAACATTTGCCAAACACATAGACACAGACCTTGTGCAAGTATGTGTGTATATATGCTTATAATGTGTATATATAAACACATAGATTGGATTTTTTTTAGCCCAAACTTAAATTGCTGTGTACATTGTCTTATACAAGTTATATAGCACTATCATGGAGAATGTCAAGAACTCTACCAGGTTTGTTATGAAAAATAGCAAGATTATACCCTCATTTTTGAAAAAAAAAAAAAAAAAAAAAAAAACCAAACCAAACAAAAAAAAAAAACTCTCCTAGCTAAGTTTTCCTAACTTTCATATTTTTCATTAGGTGTGCTTATCTAAAACTACAGCTTTTAACCAGCATCTGTAAACCCAGGCCCCAGCGCTGATTTTACATCCAGTTTCCCCACTGCCTGTTAAGACATCCCTGGCTTGACTTTTATAAAGAATTCAGCAGGCACAATGAAATTTACTCTCCTGACACCAGTTCTAACTCCTGATCAGCTCTCTTTTACTTTTCATGGGTGAACTCCATAATCACTTTAATACATCCCATGCCCTTGCTTCTGGAAGCCTTAAGTGGACAGTTCCTCAATGCTTCTGAAACCTGTTGCTTCAGATCTAAGTTCAGTGTGAGAGGTCAGTCAAGACACACAGCTTCTCCAGTCAATTCCCACCTGGCTTCAATGGCCCAGGCACAACACCATGCCTCTCTCTCCACAGGAGGCTCTTTCAGTTCCAAACTGATATTGTTCCCCTGTCCAAACATTATAAGGACCATTGCCTTAGACAAACACCTTAAATCAGCATTTTGGGCCTCCCTTCAAAGTAGCACTTGCTTTTTTTTTCTTTTCTTTTCTTTTCTTTTTTTGCCAGTCCTAGAGCTTGAACTCAGGGCCTGGGCACTGTCCCTGAGCTGCTTTTTCTCAAGGCTTTTCTCGAACCTAGGCTCCATACATGCTAGGAAAGCACTCTACCACTAAGCTACATTCCCAGTTTTGTTCTATATTTTAACCATACTCATGTATTATTTTCTCAAAAACCCTGAGCTTTTCTGTACAAGACTAACATTCTACTACTTGAGCCACAGCTCCATTTTTGATGGTTAGGTGCAGATAAGAGTCTCAGACTTTCCTGCCTGGGTTGACTATGAACTGTTAATCCTCAATTCTTAGCCTCCTGAGTAGTTAGGATTATAGGCGTAAACCACTGGCACCTAGATTCCATTTTTCCTGCACACCACTCTTGCCATTTCTTAAACAAACCAAAACTATTTCTCCTTGCTTCCATGTTACACTTACCCATTTGTTTCTGTGGTTGACGTGGGCACCATTGGATGCCAGGAAAAGAGCTGCCGCCTCATTTCCTGCCCCAGCTGCCCGCTGTAGTAAACAATTTCCTACAAGAAAACAGCCATATTCATTCTGCTGTTTGCACAGAAATAAAGTCAAGTTGCACAGTGCATAACACACTAACCTTTTCCACCATGGGCACTGTCCGTATGGACATACTGGTAACATTCCACCAGCAGTAACTGTTCTTAATCGCGGTGCTATGACTGTTTGTTTGAGTGATCCTTTGTGTAGGGGCCTGTTCCATATAATATACAATGTTTAACAATATCCCTGGCTTCTACCCACTAGATGCCAGTAAAACACCTGAACTTCTAACAAACATTTTTATAAATGTTGTCAAATGTTCTGGAATAATGTGGGTACACAATAAAGATGACCCTGGCTAACAGCCACTGGACTACATTGCATGACTAAGCTGTGCCTGAAAACGCCCCTTAAATGTTTCAGTTTCATTCCCAGGTCATATCTATGTTTGTTCTTGATTTAGAAATATTTTACCAGCACTGTCACCTTTTTCTAGATAAAAATCTTAGAAAAAAAATCATTTTCTTTCAAATACTTTTAACCCTAGAACAGTTTCTTGATCTTTAAAATTCCTGTTCCAGGGCTGGGAAGGTGGCTCAGTGGTAGAGTGCTTGCCTTGCATGCATGAGGCCCTGGGTTCAATTCTTCAGCACCACATAAGCAGAAAAAGCCGGAAGTGGCACTGTGGCTCACGTGATAGAGTGCTAGCCTTGAGCCGAAGAGCTGAGGGACAGCACCCAGGCCCAGAGTTCAGGCCCCACAACCGGAAGAAAAAAAAAAAAATCCTGTTCCAGGTCAGGCATAGTTGTTTAATTCTTACTACTCAGGAGGCAAATATCTGAGGACCAAGGTTCAAGGCCAGCCCAGACAAAACTTTGGTGTGACACTATATCTACCAACAAACAAAGGGTTGGATATATGCCTACAATCTCAGCTATGCAGGAGGCATAGGTAGACAAATCACAGTCTGAGGCTGGCTCCAGGCAAAAATGTGATACCCTATCTAAGAAATACCTAAAAAAAAAGTGCTAGAGATGTGGTCAAGTAGTATAGTACTTGCCTGGCCAAGTACAAGGAGCTGAGTTCAAAACTTAGTATGACCAAAAAATATTGTGCATGTATGTATATATAGGGCTTCAACTCAGGGTATCACACAGGCATCACACTCTTGATTAGCTTTTCCACTCACGTCTGGCTCTCTACCATTTGAGCTTCTAGACTTTTGCTGGTTGAGGTAAGAATCTCTCAGGTATGTCTACGAGGGCTGGCTTCAACCTCTGATCCTCAGATCTTAGCCTCTTGAATAGACAGGATTACTGGTGTGAGCCAACATCCCTGCTTTTATTTGACCTTTGTTTTTTTGTATTTTGTTTTTGTTTTTTGTGCTACTCAAACTTAGAGCCTCACATGTGTTAAATGAGTGTTCTACCATAGAAGTACAGCTCCTGTCCTTTGACTTTTATTTAAAATTAGTTATAATGTTAACAAGGGGGCTTTTGTGAGTGACTGAGGTCAATTCTCTTTATTAGTGGCTCCCAACTATACTTTCACACAACAGTACTCAATACTGACATATATGGAATCCCTCTCCATTAAGTATCTATCCCCTTGTTTTATTGAGGCAAATCAATGAAATATACTGAAACAGGGCTTCTCTAAGTGTGGTAGGGATTGTTGGGAGATCCTGAGTCTCTGAGGGGTTCCATGAGGTCAGAACCACTTTTACACCTCCGCTACCTGGGATGGCATTTATACTTCTGGCACAATCAGCTGTGGTTTCAACTGGAGTGCCACATCATCAAAGTGTGAAAGGAAATGAAGGAATAACAAAGGGCCAGTTTCACTTAAAATGGTCCTTGAGAAATCAGAAGGAAATTACTAATTTTATGAAATTTCCACATTGAGTACCTGTGTGAAAAACTGACACAACAAGTGTGCATAAAGATCCTCTTGCTACACAGCAAAGGACAGTGATATCTGAAGGAAGAGCACGCCTGTCTGTGAAGGCAAGCTTTTCTCAAGAAGCAGCTTTTTCTCTCAAAGCATGTATAATGAATACACTACTGTTACTCAAATACAAGTAATAGGTAAAAGTTTTCTTGAAAAGGAAGAAAGGGAGGCTGTCTCTTTAAGGCAACAACTAACAGAAACAATTGTACCCAATAATTAAATCTAAGGTTGTTTTTTTTTTTGTCGGTCGTGGGGCTTGAACTCTGGGCCTGGGCGCTGTCCCTCAGCTCTTCAGCTAAAGGCGAGCGCTCTACCACTTGAGCTACAGCGCCACTTCCGGTTTTCTGGTGGTTTATTGGAGATAGGAGTCTCAAGGTCTTTCCTGCCCGGGCTGGCTTTGAACGGCAATCCTCAGATCTCAGCCTCCTGAGTAGCTAGGATTATAGGCGTGAGCCACCAGCACCCGGCTTAAAGAGGATTTTGTTTTTTTTTTTTTTTTTTATTTTGGGTCCGGTCGTGGGCCTGAACTTTGAGTCTGGGCGCTGCCCCTCAGCTCTTCAGCTCAAGGCTAGTGCTCTACCACTTGAGCCACAGCACCACTTCTGGATTGTTTTTTTTGCTTATGAGTGCTGAGGAATCGAACCCAGGGCCTCAAGCACGAAAGGCAAGCGCTTTACCACTGAGCCAACTTCCCAGCTAAATCTAAGGTTTTAAGCAAAAGTCAAACTTTTGGAAAATTTTTCTCTGCAACTTAAATTTGATGATTTTATTTTCTTGACACTGAGTAAAGACTTCTGATTAGAACACTGCTAAGATTAATAAACCAACTCTAAGATATGAACATCTGGAAGATGTGTATAACTCAAGGAACCAACATTTTCCAAATTACTTAAGGCATGATGTTATAAAAACGTGCACAGAGAAAAAAAATCCATTCAATTCACAAACAGGCTGTGAATTATAATATATAAAAGATGTAGGGGCTGGGGAATGTGGCTCAGTGGTACTGTGCTTGTCTAGCATGCATGAAGCCCTGGGTTTGATTCCTCAGTACCACATAAACAGAAAAAGCTGGAAGTGGTGCTGTGGCTCAAGTGGTAGAGTGTTAGCCTTGGGCAAAAGAAGCTCAGGGACAGTGCACAGGCCCTGAGTTCAAACCTCTAGACTGGCAAAAATAAAAATAAAAAAAAATAAAGATATATCCCTTGGGGCTGGGAATATAACTTTGTAGTAGAGTGCTTGCCTCGCATGCGTGAAGCCCTGGGTTAGATTCCCTTGTACCACATACAGAAAGGCCAGAAGTGGCACCATGGCTCAAGTGGTAAAACACTAGCCTGGAGCAAAAGAAGCTCAGAGACAGCACCCAGGCCCTGAGTTCAAGCCCTAGGACTAGCAAAAAAAAAAAAATCCCCTTCCTACACAGTCACATGAGTATGTATTTCCACATATAATTTAACCCAAAGAATCTATCTTAAATTTTGTTTGGAAAGTTATTTTTATGAAGGGTGACACTGTATTGTACTTATGTTGAATTGAAGCCCTTTTGTACAACTACTTAAAGATAATGAGTTATTTTTACAATGAATATGTATATTTCCACATAATGGTTTGTTAGAAGTAACCAATATCTCTCTTTTTAAATCCTCTGTTTTGAGCCAGGTACTGGTGGTTCATGCCTATAATCCTAGCTACTGAGGAGGCTGAGATCTGAGGATTGAGGTTCAAAGACAGCCTACGCAGGAAAAGTCCACGAGACTCTTAACTCCAATTACCCACCAGTAACTGGAAGTGCAGCTGTTGCTCAAAGTGTAGAACACAAGCCTTGAGCAAAGTTCAGGGACAGTGTACAGGCCCTAAGTTCAAGCCCCATGACTAGGGAAAAAAATCCGTTTAATATTGAACTATCGTCAATATTGAAGATAAAACTCACTAAACCAAAATTTTTGAGATATAGTTTGAGTTAAGTAGTGCTTCATGACTAACTCCAGCAATTAGGAGTCTGAGGCGGGAGGATCCAAGTTTGAGGACATAAGGAGACTATTTAAAACCAACAAACAAAAGAGCCACTAGGTAATAAAAGGAGTTATGAGTCTAAAAGTTGAAGAATCACTGCACTAAATAAACAGAAAAGATTCAGCTTAAAAGATTTAACTTGGCTGAGAATGTGGTTTAGTGGTAGAGTGCTTGCCTTGCATGCATAAAGCCCCGGGTTTGGCTCCCCAGTACCACATAAGCAGAAAAGCCAGAAATGGTGCTATGGCTCAAATGATAGATAGAGTGATAGCCTTGAGCAAAAGACACTCAGCCTGGGCCCTGAGTTCAAGCCCCACAATTGTCAAAAAAAAAAAAAAAAATTAACTTGATGTCTGGCTATATTGTTCATACATAGAATTTAAAATTTTTTGCAACTTAGACTCTTATAGTATTTAAAATTAGGTACACTGTCAAGTACTGGTGGGTCATGCCTATAATCCTAGTTACTCAGGAGGCTAAAATCTGAGGACTAAGATTCTAAGCCAGCCTGAGCAGGAAAGTCCCTGAGACTCTTAACTCCAAAGACACCAAAAAGCCAAAAGCAGAGCTATAACTCAAGTAATAGAATGCCAGCTTTGAGCACAAAAGCTCAGTGACAGCACCCAGACTCTGAGTTCAAGCCCCTGGACTGGCATACAACACAAAAAGAATTGGAAAAAATTGCCAGGCACTGGTGGCTCATGCCTGTAATCCCAGCTACTCAGGAGGCTGAGATCTGAGCCTCATGGTTCAAAGCCAGCCCGGGCAGGAAAGTTCATGAGACACTTATCTCCAATGAACCACCAGAAAACCAGAGGTGGTGCTGTGGCTCAAGTGGTAGAGCATTCGCCTTGAGCTGAAGAGCTGAGGGACAGTGCCCAGGCCCAGAGTTCAAGCCCCATGACAAAAAAAAGAAAAAAAAAAGAAAAAAAAAAAGAATTGGAACAAATTAATTCTAACAGTAAGTCATTTGGTTTCTATTTTTGCTGATACTTTTTATACTCCAGGTGTAGGAGCACATGCTATGATCCCAACACTAAGGAGGCTGAGGCAGAAGGATTGTGTGTTTGGGGCCAGTCTTAAACTATACAACGAGCTCCTATCTCAAAACCCCTCCCTAAAACAACCTACTACTAAAAACCAGAAAAGAGAAAATGCTCATTTCCAGGACATTCCCGTTCTCTGGGCTTCAGCATGATCTCTCAGGATCCTACTGCACTTCACCTGTCATTGCATCAGGCGCATCCGTGTTGCTGCCACGCTGAATCAGTCTGGCTGCAAAGCTGTTTTCATCAAATGAAGTCCCATTAACCACGGGGACATCTTCAAAAGGATTTACGGACTGGTCTGAAGACACGGTGATGTACTGCACTGCAAGCCACAGAGCTGTGCTGCCCTCATGGTCTTTTAGGTCTAAATCTAGCCTAAAATGAGAAAGCAATGTAAACCACAAATAGAATCTTCAGACACTGTCCTGCTAATAGCCTCATACACTCTCTACTCTTTGAATGACACATTTTTATTCCATTTTTAGTTATTAAGATTTGTAACACTAGAAGACACTTTAAAATAATTTTTCACTCACAATCCCACCCTCACAACGGCTTTTCCATTATTCCATGTCGCCCTACGTACTGTTTACACTGCAGCAGCTGATTGAACACATATTCATTCCTGGCCAAGATGGATAAGTGCAATGGAGTCCTGCAGAGCAAAAAGAAGAGGCGTCAATTCAGGACAGACCAGTTCAGAGTTGGGATGATTAGAATCTTAGGCAGCATCGCCAACAACTGCAAAATCTCTACATTTCAGGAACAGTTTTCCAAAACCATGTCCAAGAATCAAAACATATTGCCTAATATGGTCATATTAGTGCTCCAATTAAGGGCAAGAATCAATTTTTTAAGAAGATATAAAATGTTCTGCAAGCAAAGTGCCAGCAGCTCATTCCTGTAACCCAGGCTAGACAGGAGGCTGAGATGTGCCATGCCTGGAAGAAAAGTCCGAGACTACATCTCTCTAATTAACTAGTAAAAAGCCAGGCTGGAGGGAAGAGTGGGAAGATGGCGACGGGGCAGTAGGGAAACGCCACAGCTCTCTCCAACCAAAAAGAGAGTTCGAGTTCCAACCTTTAATCTCCCCAAGAGACCGACAACAACAAAAAGACGAACACTCAGAGAAAAACCAGAGGTGGAAAATAACAAAAAAAGAAAGAGAGGAAAAGAAGAATTTCAGAACAGAGAAGAGCGAAGACCCCTCCCCCAACCTTTACTGGCCGCGCGGCAGTGCGCCAAGCCGCCGGCCAGCCGGCCCGGCAGGGGCTGCCGGAGCCACAGAGACACAGGGGGCTGCTTGCAGATCACCAGGTACCGGATTGCAGAACAGCGGATCGCCAGGAACAGAGAAACCTACCAGCCGGGAGTCTCCAGGAGGATCCCACCCCACCCATCACTCTCCACCGGAGCGGAGAGGCTCCATCCCGCCAAAGCCGCCCGGCACCAGCAGCGCCACAAAGGGACCTGTCGCGATCGCAACGACCCGGCGGGGGGCCGCCCAACCCAGCCCGCAACCACCCCAACTGAACTCGGACTGCAACAACAACTGACGGACTGCAACAACAACTGACGACCTACAGGGTGAGTACCCATCAGGGGACAGGGAATCCATCAAGGGAGACCAGAGCTGGAGGGAATCCCCAGACCCTGACCTAGACTCCCTACCCCAACACCCGGACCACAGGACCCACTAAAACTGGGAACTGTTCGAGAGCCCCACCAGCCGGTGGAGCACACTCTGCTGGCCAGGCCAGAGCAAGAGCGCCCCGGGAAGGGAGCTTAAATGCTCAAGCCAGGAACAGTGCCCCTGGGTCAAGACTACCAACAGTAGAAGAAATTTGATCTGTGTCCTCCAGGCTGCATAACCAAGGTGGCATACACATTAGCACAGGCCTAACGAGCGCGCTCCAGGCTGGGGCCAGAACCAGGCCAGGGGACCGGCGCCTGAACAAAGCAAAAAGGGTCAGAAGTGGGGCTGTGGCTCAAATGGTAGGGTGCCAGCCCTGAGCTGAAGAGCTGAGGGACAGCACCCAAACCTAGAGTTCAAGCCCACAACCAGCCCAAAACAAACAAAAACACATCAGGAGCCCATAGCAGACTCCAGTATTTGGGAGAGTGCATCCAGAGCATCTGATCTTCCCAAGAGCACCCGCAGGAGCAAACACAAGCAGTCTAGGCTGCTCAACCCTTCCAAAGGCGGGAATTGCTACAGCAGAGAGCTGAGAATCCTAAGTGAATAGCAGCTGGAAATAGGCTCCCAACAGAATCCAGATCAGACACAGACTCTCTCTACCAATAGAGAATCAGCAACCAAGCAAAGACAGACACACCAAAACAAGATTGAAGAGCAGTCTCCTGAACCCCCATGCGAAAATCACAGAGAAAAATCACAAGGTTTACCACTACCCAGGACAGCAAGCTCACCTCAAAAGCCAGCAGCCACGCAGGGGAGAGCCCCAGTGGGAGCAAAGCAGGAATGGAAGACAAAAACTACATCCAAGGGTTGCTGGAGGCAATGACTCAAGAAATAAAGCGAGAAATGGATCAGAAATTGAAAGAGCACAAGGATGAACTATCAAAAGATATACAGGATATCAAACAAAAATTGGATGCAAAAATAGAAGCTGCACAAACCTCAGTAAGAAGTGAGATAAACGCCAAATTAGAGGTAATGCATACTGATATCACCTCATTGAGAGGTGAGATCAGTACTCTGAGAACCAACATTGAATCCATAAAGGGATCCATTTCCATCATGCAAACCACAATAGAAGCCACGGTCAACAGAGTGAATGAAATGGAAGGTAGAGTGTCAGATACAGAAGACAGAATACACCAACTGGACCAAAAAGTGACAGATATGGAAAAATCACTCAAATTAAACCAAAGGGAAATTCAAGAGCAAGCAGATAATGCTAAAAAATTTAACCTTCGCATAATCGGAGTGGACGAAGGTGAGGAATTCCAGAGCAAGGGAATGCAACACCTATTTAACAAGATAGTCAATGAAAATTTTCCCCACCTCAAAAACGACCATCTTAACTACATCACAAAAGCTTATCGAACACCCAACAAGCAAGATCCCAGGAGAAACACTTCTAGGCACATAATAGTAACAATGATGGATCTGAATAATAAGGAAACAATCCTGCATGCAGCAAAAATGAAGAAGGAGCTATACTACAACGGGAAAAAAATTAGAATCACTGCAGATCTCTCCACACAAACAATGAATGCAAGAAAAGCCTGGGAAAGCACCATACGAGCCCTGAGAGCCAATAACTGCCAACCCAGACTGATATACCCGGCAAAGCTAGCATTCACATTCGATGGAGAACTGAAAACTTTTAATAGCAAAGAAAAACTAAATGAATACATAAACATTAAGCCAGCATTACAAAGAATTCTAAGAGGGGGGACACAACCTGAAGAAAGCAACCAGGAACTGGGACCTGCCCCAAACAGGCTTTACTCAAAGTCTAACTGAGCAAGCACAGGAGGAAAGGAAAGAAGAAAAACTTAGGAAAACGGAATGGCAGGGACAACAATGCATCTCTCTATACTTTCTCTTAATATAAATGGGCTGAATTCGCCAATTAAAAGAAAACGAACTGAGGACTGGATCAGAAAACAAGACCCATCCATCTGTTGCCTTCAGGAGACCCACCTCTCAGCCAAACATACAAACAAACTCAGAGTGAAGGGGTGGAAAAGGATCTACCAATCAAATTCCCCCAATAAGAAAGCAGGTGTAGCTATCCTGATATCTGACAAAATAAACTTTTCATTAAAATCAGTACAGAAAGACAAGGACGGACACTACATATTAATAAAGGGAACAATCCAAGAGGAGGATATAACCATCATCAACTTATATGCCCCAAATATCGGTGCACCCAGATATGTTAAACAAATGCTCTCAAACTTACAGAATAAAATAGATCCCAATACGATAATACTAGGAGACTTTAACACGCCACTCTCACCAAAGGACAGGTCTACCAACCAGAGGATTGGCAAAGAAGCTACCGAATTAAGTGAGGCCATACTTCAAGCGGAATTAACTGACATCTACCGAGTATTTCACCCTAAAACAACACAGTACACATTCTTCTCAGCAGCTCATGGAACTTTCTCCAAAATAGACCATATCATAGTTCATTCAAGGAACTTAAGCAAATACAAAGGGATCGACATAATCCCCTGTATCCTATCTGACCACAGTGGAATCAAGCTAGCTCTCAATAACAAAGCATACCGCAGAAATTTCTCTAATACATGGAAATTGAACAGCACACTCCTTAACAAGGCCTGGGTAACAGAAGAGATCAGAGAAGAAATAAAGCATTTCCTAGAACTCAATGAAAATGAAAACACCTCACAAAGAAACTTGTGGGACACAGCAAAAGCAGTCCTGAGGGGCAAATTTATTGCCCTCAGTGCCCACATCAAGAGAATGGAGACAGACCAAGTAAATAATCTCATGTTGCAACTAAAACAGCTAGAAAAACAAGAAAAAATGGGACCTAAAGCTACTAGACGAAGCCAGATAACCAAATTGAGAGCAGAGATTAACCAATTAGAAAATCAGAAAACCATAACCAAAATAAACCAAACAAAAAGCTGGTTCTTTGAAAAAATAAACAAAATTGATGGCCCGTTGGCAAGATTAATTAAAAAAAGAAGAGAGGAAACCCATATTAATAGGATTAGGGATGCCACGGGAAACATCACAACACGTACCCAAGATATCCAAACAATTCTAACAGACTACTTTCAAAAGCTATACTCTCTAAAGGAAGAAAATCTGGCGGAAATGGATGCATTTTTAGAGAAATACAAGTTACCCAAACTGAGCAAAGAAGAAGTTAACCAATTAAATAAGCCAATATCCTATAATGAGATACAGGAAGCTATCAAAAGTCTTCCAACAAAAAAAAGCCCAGGACCAGATGGATTCACAGCAGAATTCTATAAGACCTTTAAAGAAGAACTAATACCCATACTCCTCAAGCTCTTCAGAGAAACAGAGAAGGAGGGAGCTATCCCAAACTCATTCTACGAAGCCAATATCACACTCATCCCCAAACCAGGCAAAGACCCAACCAAAAAGGAGAATTACAGGCCAATCTCCTTGATGAACACAGATGCAAAGATCCTTAACAAGATTCTAGCTAACAGAATCCAGAAACACATAAAAAAAATAATACACTATGATCAGGTAGGCTTCATCCCAGAGACACAGGGATGGTTTAACATACGTAAGTCAATAAATGTAATCCAGCATATCAACAGAGCCAAGGTCAAGAATCACATGATTATCGCCACAGATGCAGAAAAGGCCTTTGATAAAATTCAACATTCATTCATGCTAAAAGCTCTGGAGAAAATAGGAATAGAAGGAACATTTCTAAAAACAATAAAAGCCATTTATGACAGACCAATAGCCAATATTATACTTAATGGGGAAAAGCTACAACCAATCCTCCTAAAAACAGGAACAAGGCAAGGATGTCCACTGTCTCCACTCCTCTTCAACATAGTCCTAGAACCCTTAGCCAGGGCAATAAGGCAAGAAAAAGACATTAAAGGGATCCGCATAGGGAAAGAAGAAGTGAAACTATCCCTTTTTGCAGACGACATGATACTATACCTCCACGATCCCAAAAACTCCATCCCCAAACTTTTAGAAATCATAAGTCACTTCGGCAAAATAGCAGGATACAAAATAAACCCACAAAAATCAGTTGCCTTCCTATACACTGATAACGCACAGGAAGAGAGGGAAATAAAGGGAGCAACCCCATTCACAATAACCTCCCAAAAAATAAAATATTTAGGAATTAACCTAACCAAAGATGTAAAAGAACTATTTAATGAGAACTATAAAAAGTTAAAGAAAGAAATTGCAGAAGACACTAGGAAATGGAAAGACCTCCCATGCTCCTGGATAGGCCGACTTAATATAGTAAAGATGGTGATACTTCCAAAATTAATATACAAATTCAATGCAATTCCTATTAAAATCCCAATGACGTACATCACTGAAATACAGAAAACAGTCCAAAAATTTATATGGAACAACAAAAGACCTAGAATAGCCAAAACAATTCTAGGGGATAAAGACAATATGGGAGGGCTATCCATGCCGAACTTCAAACTCTACTACAGAGCTATAATAACAAAGACAGCATGGTACTGGCACAAAAACAGACCCGAAGACCAATGGAACAGAATAGAAGATCCAGATATAAATCCACAGGCCTACAGCCAGCTGATATTCGACAAAGGAGCCAAAGACATACAATGGAAGAAACACAGCCTCTTCAACCGCTGGTGCTGGGAAAACTGGGCAGCCACATGCAGAAAACTAAAAGTGGACCCCAGCCTATCACCATGCACCAACATCAACTCAAAATGGATTAAAGACCTTAACATTAAACCTGAATCTCTGAAACTACTGCAGGACAGAGTAGGAGAGACACTTGAACTAATAGGCACAGGAAGGAACTTCCTGAACAGAGTCCCAGGGTCACAACAAGTTGGAGAGAGACTCGACAAATGGGACTACCTTAAAATAAAAAGCTTCTGCACAGCTAAATCTATCGCAACTAAGCTAGAAAGACAACCAACTAATTGGGAAAAAATATTTACCAGCAATATATCAGACAAGGGGTTAACATCCTGTATATACAGGGAACTCAAGAAACTAATCCCTCCCAAACCTAACAAACCAATTACTAAATGGGCAAGGGAACTAAAGAGGGACTTCTCAAATGAAGAAATAAAAATGGCAAAGAAACACATGAGGAAATGTTCATCATCCCTGGTGGTGAAGGAAATGCAAATAAAGACAACCCTGAGATACCACCTTACCCCAGTCAGAATGTCCCACATCCACAAATCAGCCAACGACAAATGCTGGAGGGGATGTGGAGAAAGAGGAACCCTATTACACTGCTGGTGGGAATGTACACTTATACAACCACTTTGGAAAGCAGTCTGGAGGGTCCTTAGAAAGCTAAAGATTGACCTCCCTTACGACCCAGTCATACCACTTCTAGGCATCTACCCTGAACAACAGGAACCAATATACAAGGACACGTGCACCTCCATGTTTATTGCAGCACTGTTCGCAATAGCTAGGATATGGAAACAACCTAGGTGCCCCACCACAGATGAATGGATCCAAAAATTGTGGTATCTATACACAATGGAATATTATGCAGCCATTAGAAATGACAAAATAATGGCATTTGCAGGGAAATGGATGGAGCTAGAAGGAATCATGTTGAGCGAGGTAAGCCAAGAACGAAGAGACAAACGGTACATGGGCTCCCTCATAAGTGGATGCTAAATCCAAAAGGTTAGTGATACGACAAAACTAACAGGACTTAAGAAACAAAGAACTCCCGCTCATCTGGTTGAACCACTACTAAATATCCTCATGCTGCTGATCACAAATATGGTATATAACATGTGAACACTGTTATATATTACAGACTGTGGTAGACAATTTGCTCCAGGGAAGTTAGAATGAACTTGTGACTTTGAAATTATGTAATCATTTAATCACAATCAAAAAAAAAAAAAAAAAAAAAAAAAAAGAACCTCGGGGAAGGGAGGGAGGGAGGGGATGGTAGGGGGAAAACAATGGAGGGGGTAACAATGTTCAAGAGGAAGTGTACTCATAACCTCACTCATGTAACTGTGACCCTCTGTATAGTAGCTTTACAATAAAAAAAAAAAAAAAAAAATAAAAAAAATAAAAAAAAAAAAAAAAAAAAAAAAAAAAAAAAAAAAAAAAAAGCCAGGCTGGAGATGTGGCTCAAGTGGTAGAATGTCAGTCATAAGTAGCAAGCTGAGAAAGTACAAAGCCCTTAAGGTCAAGCCTTAGAACCGGCAATAACAACAACAGCAACAACATCAATAATAATAATGCTTTGTGATACAATGCTGTATATTTGCTACTTTAAAACTATTTATTATAGCCGGGTGCTGGTGGCTCATGCATGTAATCCTAGCTACTCAGGAGACTGAGATCTGAGGTTTGCAGTTCAAGCCAGCCTGGGCAAGAAAGTCCGTGAAACTCTTATCTCCAATAAACCACCAGAAAAACAGAAGTGGCACTGTAGCTCAAGCGGTAGAGTGCTCATCTTGAGCTGAAAAGCTGAGGGACAGTGCTCAGGCCCAGAGTTCAAGCCCCATGACCGACAAAAAAAAAAAAAAAAAAAAAAACCAACTATTTATTATAGTGAGTCATTGATGGCTTACTCCTGTAACCCTAGATACTAAGAAGGCTGAGATCTGAGGATCAAGGTTCAAAGCCAGCCTGGGCAGGAAAGTCCATGAGATTCTTATCTCCAATTAAACATCAAAAAGCCAGAAGCAAAGGTATGGCTCAAATACCAGTGCAAGCGTGCTCACACGCACACGTACACACACATGCATGCACATGCACACACATATACATGCACATTTTTTGTTTTGTTTGGTATTTTGATACAGAGGCTCACTATTAGCCCAGGCTGGTCTTGAATGTGAGATCTTCCTGCTTCAGATTACTGAGTGCTAGGATTACAGATGTGGGCCATCAAGACCAGCTGCCTAGGGCTGGGAAGGTGGCTCAGTGGTAGAGCGCTTGCCTTGCATGCATGAGGCCCTGGGTTAGATTCCTCAGCACCACATAAGCAAAAAGAAAAAAGCCGGAAGTGGTGCTGTGGCTCAAGTGGTAGAGCACTAGCCTTGAGCTGAAGAGCTGAGGGACAGTGCCCAGGCCCAGAGTTCAGGCCCATGACGGGACCCAAAAAAAAAAAAAAAAAAAGACCAGCTGCATAAATACATTTTTTTAATATCTCACGCTAATTCTGCAAATAAGCTTTTTCTTCCTTTCTCATAATTTTCTGTTTTTCCAGGGAGACACACAGAGAAACAACAGGTAAGAACTGATGAAAGTAGCATTTAACCCTTTTCATTACATTTACTTGCCACTCAAGAGCCTTGAAGGAGACTGCTACTGCAGAGAAACCACTGCAGAGACAGCCCCCCACCTGACACCTAGCTCAGAGAACAGACTGACAGAGCTTAATAAGGTTGGAGGAAATAATTAAAAGCAACAGAGAAAATAAAGGATGCAATTACTTGGGAGGAATAATGTTATTTGCCATGTTATAAAGTATTCATGCAGATCCATTTTACTTTATCCATCATACAAAAATCACTGAAATTATATTGTTCCATTTTTTTTGGAGGGGGGTGAGGGTTGGGCATGGGGCTTGAAATGAGGGCCCTAGGCATTATCGCTGAGCTCTTTTGCCAAAGCTAGCATTCTACACTTTGAGCAACAACTCTAGTTCCAGTTGTTTGTTTTGAGTGGTTAGTTAGAGGTAAGTGTCAGGAGGATTTTTCTGCTACAGCTGGCTTCGAATCATGATCCTCAGATCTCAGCCTCCTGAGTAGCTAGGATTACATGTATGAGCCACCAGGACAGCTTGAATTTTTTTTAATTTTTGAGGTTTTCACAGGTGTAAAGATTACAAGTTGGTCCTGTGGTTGGTGATAATGCAGGGAATTTAACTGCCCTTCAGTGTCTTCTATGCTACTGCCCCAAAGACAGGTGGTCCTCCTATAGAGTTTGAACCACAGGAAATTCTCAACTACACTCTTTGGGAAAGGGGCAAATATGTGAAGGGTGGGCTGTGGAAGTAAGTACCAAGATGGACAATGAGTTGTCTCAGGTGGGAGAATTTATAGGGCAAAACTGAATGTAAAATAGAGAATTTTCAGCAGGACACCCATGGCTTATGCCTGTAATCCTATCCACTCAAGAGGCTGTAATCTGAAGATCCTGGTTTAAAGCCAAGCTGACCAGGAAAGTAGTGAGATTCTTATTAACCAGCAAAAAGCTAGAAGTGGATCATGTAGCTCAAGTGATAGAGTGCTAACCTTGAGCAAAACACTCATGAATAGCATTGAGGTCCTGAGTTCAAACCCCAGGACCATCAGCAACACTCTCCCTCCTGCCCCCTGCCCCCAAAAAAAGAAATCAGAGAGTGCAAGAAAGAGAAAGAGAATTTTCTAACTAGACTTCACAGATGCAAAACAATTGTCTTAGTGTGCCTTCTTTGTTTCCAAACTATCCAAGTAACTCTAAGAAATAGCAAATAAGGAGGAAAAAAAAAAGAAATGGTAAATAAGGTCCCCTTGGAATAGTCAACTAAGTAACTCATCTGGTTCCTTTTAACTGGCAGGTGATAGAAATTGTTTAGATATCCAAAGACTTCAGATTTCAAAGATAGAAATCTTTCCCCCAAATACCTCTAGTTTTAGTCATGACACTCATTTACATGACTAACAAATATTTGTAGCTTCAATGAATATCCAGTCTATAACAAGAAATTCCCTGCATGACAATTAGTTACCAATATAAAGTATCCTTCTGGGATTAGTACTAAGGGATTAGTACTCTGCTCCACAACTCACCTGCCTTTGCTGTCCTGCATGTTGGGGTTGGCACCAGCCTGCAAGAGGGCCTCTGCAATCTGAGCCATCTCAGACATCACACCGGCTGAGTGTTTTTTTGGACTGTACAATGCCACAAGGTGCAATGGTGTCTCTTGGGCACCCAATGTAGCAGCATTGACAAGGGCTCCGTTCTTAATGAGGAACGTGGAAGCAAAGAGATCTCCTTGAAAAGAAACAAAAAAACACACACACAATAAATAATTCAATACTCAGGGCAAACTCTTCTGGCCAACACTTCTTCAAAAGGCAATAGCTAATGAATACAGACAAAAAGGGACAACTGGATGCAAATAAAAGAATCTCTTTTATAATAACTGCAAGTAGAAACTTGTGATCTAGACCATGGAATTAATACTCTAGTTTAAAAGGCTTCCTTATTCAATTTTTGATCACCTGTAATCATCTATATAGCTTCAAACCTTCAATACTCCTTTGCTATTTAAGAATACCAGGCTTAGAGTCATAGCTCAAATGGCAAAGTGCTTGCTCTAAGTATAAGCCACAGTACCATAAAAAAAGAAAAGAAAAGAGAAGAGGAGTTGGGAATGTGGCTTAAGAGGTAGAGTGTTTGCCTAGCATGCATAAAGCCCTAGGTTCGAATCCTCAGTACTACATAAATAGAAAAAGCCCGAAGTGGCACTGTGGCTCAAGTGGTAGAGTGCTAGCTTTGAGCAGAGAGAGACTCAGGGACAGTACCAAGGCCCTGAGTTCAAGCCCCAGGACTGGCAAATAAATAATGTTTGTATTATGATTAAAGATCCATTTATAACTTAAGACATAAAAATACTAGTTACATATAAAAATCTTACTTAAGGGTTGGGAAGGTAGCTCAGCGGTAGAGTGCTTGCCTTGCATGCATGAGGTCCTGGGTTCCATTCCTCAGCACCACATAAGCAGAAAAAACCGGCAGTGACCCTGTGGCTCAAGTGGTAGAGTGCTAGCCTTGAGCTGAAGAGCTGAGGGACAGCACCCAGACCAGAGTTCAGGCCCCATGACAGGCCAAAAAAAAATCTTACTTAAAAAGAAGTCAAAGAATATCAAAGGAGCAAAAATAATGAAGAGGCTTGGCACAATAGCTCACACTTGTAATCCAAGTTACTCAAAAGATGAAAATCAAGAGGATCATGGTTTGAGAAAAGCTCCACGCAAAAAAAGTTAGCAGGACCTATGTTCACCATGGTGTTGTTCACCATGTGGTACTAGCTGTACAGGAGGCTGAGTTTAAGAGGATCATAGTACAGGCTGGCATAGGCAGAAAACACAAGAGCTACCTGAAAAATAACTAAAGGAAAAAGGTCTAGAATGTAGCTTAAAGTGATAAGAGTACCTGCCGAGCAAACACAAAGCCCTGAGTTCAAACAAATAAAAAAAAAGTTTAAAAAAATAAGAAAAATGAAACACAAAAGAAGAGAGAAACTTTTCCATTACAAATGTGTTAAAGCATTCCACTTAGCTGGGTGGAAACAACTGTTTGTCTCATACCCTCCAGTTGGCATCATCTAGTGCTTATACAGAAGGTTTATCACGGTTTCAACTAAATAGCTTCCAAATTAAATTCACCCTCAACAGAGATTTATCTGGATAACTTTGATGGAGATATATATCTAAGTTATCTTGAGAGCTTGTTTGGAGCTCAGAGGTACTTTCTGCAGACTGGGCCTCATGTGCCAAGGTCTATAGGATGAACTCTTTCAAATGACCTGTTTTTTTTCTTTTTTCTTTTAGGTTATATTTATATTTCCTTTAAGTACTTGTGCAAAGAAGGTGTTACTCAAATCAGTTTATAAGTTCAATGCATCTTAATCAATGTCACCCCTTTCAACATCCTCCTCCATCCTTCTCAACTGTCCCCTCATAACAACATACACATATCAGTAAGATAAACTTTGCCTATAAGCTTATGATTTTAGGCAACAGCCCTAAGTTTATTTATGGCTCAGAGTTTAATAATAGTTGAGATGTGCAGGAAGGTACTGGAAAGGCAATTACGTTTTTTGTTTTTTAAAATTTTATTGTACAGGAGATGTACACAGGGGTTACAGTTACATAAGTTACATAATGAGTACCGTTTTGAACAGTTTCACTCCTTCCTCATTTTCTTCCAGTTTTTACCCTCCTGAAATCCCAGCCTACTAAGTTGTATAGTTCATTTCCAACACAAACTTTTGAGAAAACCTATTCATAGAAAAGGCCTTTAAGTCTGACCTGAAATTAGTTCTGACCCTTGACTAAAGATTGGGTTGGCCTTGTAAGTTCTCACTCCCCAGTCTGCCCTGCCTGGGCCCTGCTGGTCCCTTGGCCTATGCTGGAGGTACCATGCTGTGCTGATGGCAGACAGATGCACATCAGAGGACTTTTATGAACTATTTCCTTCTGTACAAAGGTGCCTTCAGGGCCTGGCTCCACACTGGGCTTTTTCTTCCAGCAGCCCAAGTAACTTATGCCAGTCCAGATAGATCTTGATGACAAACTTTTGACAAGAAATGTTTAATTTACAATGAGCACTATAAAGGAATTGCTTGGTTTGGCTCAGAGCTCATGTAAAAGTCAGCCAAAAGAAAGTTGGCTGTGGATGCCCAAGATAGTGATCTTGGCAAAAATGCTGAGATATCTGCAATATAGACTTTATACAAGGATGTCTGAAATCCAAAAACCATCCTGCTCTCTAGGATTTTTATCCATTACAATGTGTTCAAGATTGGCAGGAAACTGGAGCTTCTTGGTTGAATGCTTAGATCTCTAGAGAGCAAAAACTTCTGAGTCGGGATATCAGTATCAGCATCCTCTGAATCACCAGCTTCATTTCTCAATTTCTTGTTTTAAGGTAAGAGAATATGGCTCCATGAATCCTGACCATGGGCCTGGCATGATCTACTGTATTCCATGCATTGGGTACTCTGACACCTTCTCTCTGGTATGCACATGTCCTGTTCTTGGCTCCTGCACCTGGGAGAGGAAGGTCCCCATGCATCCACACACTTCTGGGACCTCTGTTTTTTTTGTTTTTTGTTTTTGTTTTTTTTAATGGAGAAAGCCAGGCATTGGTGGCTCATACCTGTAATCCTAGCTACTCAGCAGGCTGAGATCTGAGGATCACAGTTCAAAGCCAGCCCTGACAGAAAAGTCCATGAGACTCTTATCTCCAACAAACTACTCAAAAAAGCCAGAAGTGGTAGAGCGCTCACCCTGAGCAAAAGCAGCTCAGGGACAGTGCCCAGGCCCAGAGTTCAAGTCCCAGGACTGGAAAAAAAATAATAAGATGGAGGATACAAAAAAAATACTGAGTAACTTCCCAGAGTATGACCTGCTGGTCCCATGATGGTCGACTGTGTTTCTTAAATTTGCTGACCAATTGCTGATGGATGTCACGTTGTTGAACTTGCTACTTCTTTAATTGCTTGCTAATGGCTGCTGTGCTGTTCAACGTGGAACTTCTTTTTTGTTTTGTTTTGTTTTTTGTCAGTCGTGAGGCTTGTACTCTGGGCTTGGGCGCTGTCCCTCAGCATTTCAGCTTAAGATGAGTGCTCTACCACTTGAGCCACAGCGCCACTTCTGGTTTTCTGAGTGGTTTATTGGATTTTCCTGCTAAGGCTGGCTTTGAACCACCATCCCAGATCAAAGCCTTCTGAGAAGCTAGGATTACTGGCATGAGTCACTAGTACCCAGCTTTCAACATGGAACTTCTTTAATATATTCCAGTTGATCTGAAATTGTCTTTGCACTGAGCCACTCCCCCCGGCCGCCCCCCCCCCCCCCCCCGTTTCATTCATTCATTCTTTTTTTTTTTGCCAGTCCTGGGGCTTAAACTCAGAGGCCCTGGCACCATCTCTGAGCTTCTTTTGCTCAAGGCAAGCACTCTACTACTTGAGCCACAGTGCCACTTCTGGCTTCTTTGGTAATTTATTGGAGACAAGAGTCTTACAAACTTTTCAGCCTGGGCTGGCTTTGAACTGTGATCCTCAGACCTCAACCTCTAAAGCATCTAGATTACAGACATGACCCATTAGCGCCCAGCACTTTCATCTCTTATTAATCCTATTAGCACTGGAAATGATTTTTTGTTTTTCTGAGACATGGTCCTGAACTCTGGTGCCTCCAAGAGGCTCAAGGTTAAAACATCTTCCTAAGCCAGGGCACCAGTGGCTCATGCCTGTAATCCTAGCTACTCAGGAGGCTGAGATCTGAGGATCATGGTTCAAAGCCAGCCTGGGCAGGAAAGTCCGTGAGACTCTTATCTCCAATAAACCACTAGAAAAACGGAAGTGGCACTGTGGCTCAAGTGGTAGAGCACTAGCCTTGAGCTGAAGAGCACAGGGACAGAGCCCAAGCCCAGAGTTCAAGCCCCATGATCGACCAAAAAAACCCAAAAACATCTTCCTAGCAAGTATAAGGCTCAGAGTTCAAATCCCAGTACCACCAAGACAAATCTGTACTGTACTACACTTATTTTTTTACTGTTTGTATGTGCACATGTATGTGTGCACGTGTGTGTGTGTGTGTGTGTGTGTGTGTGTGTGTGTGTGTGTGTGTGTGTTGAGGCATACTACTTAGATGGGTGGAAGCAGCAGTTGTACTCAGTGGATTCCAGGTAGCCAAATAGCTGGGACAAATCCAGAACTGTCTTATAGAAAATACTGGGAAATATTAAGAAGAGAATGGATTATCTGGTCAGGCTACTAAGTTGAAAAAGACTTAGATCATTATTTCAACAACTTTTCTTACCAGCCATTTGTCCTGAAATATTTTCATGCTTCCACACAGTTTTTGTGTGTGCCAGTCCTGAGGCTTGTACTCAGGGCCTGGGTGCTGTGGCTGAGCTTTTGTGTTCAAGGCTAGTGCTCTACTACTTTGAGCCACAACACCATTTCCAGCTTTTTGGTAGTTAATCGGTGATATGAGTCTCACAGATTTTCCTGCCTGGGCTGTCTTTGTACCTAATATTCCATGTCATTTTTTTTTTTTTTTTTTTTGGTGGGTCATGGGGCCTGAACTCTGGGCCTGAGCACTGTCCCTCAGCTCTTCAGCTCAAAGCTAGCACTCCACCACTTGAGCCATAGCACCATTTCTGGCTTTTTCTGCCAGGAACTGCACCTGCGGGTCACAGCAGCCAGCAGAGGAAGAAGTCCTACCTGTGTGTCCCAGCTAGGAGACCCAGCAGCCCAG